AGCAAATCTGCATCTGAAAACCCGTGTCGTCGAAGGGGTTGTTGTACATGATAAGGCGACCAGCGTAGCCGACTACCTCGCCCAAGCAGCCCAGGCTGAGAGCGATCTACAGGATATTAGATGCGTCTTGCTAATTAGAGAATTGGCTCACCATGTAGGTCCATGTCTTGTATCTGATGCCTAGCCCAAGCTGGATGATGAGGCAGAGGGCGAAAAAGGCCGTGAAGAAGGCGTTGGCGCCGAGACTAGGATAATAGCCATAGAGTGTACCTTCTACTGGACATTCAGGGCCAACTTCGGTACACCACCAAGGAGCAGAAGGTGGGACAGTCATCGTGAAAGGGGTTTGCCACGTGGGGAGGTCGTTGCTGTGGGGATGCAGAAGATCTAAGGCGACTGAAGCAGAGGGATATCTGTGAGTGGCCGAGCGCGGTGCGTTGTTGTGTGATGGGGAATTGTTGACGACGGAGGCTCGATACCTTATAACTTACAATCTGATTCACAATTGAGATGGTGTTTCGCACGATGCACCAAATCCGAACATGGCGGCGCATGTATAGCCCCAGCCTGAGGCAGTGTGGGATACGCGTTATCCAGCGGTAACGTTTGCTAGTCCTATAACAGCCAAGGATGCGAAATCTATGCAGGATGCCTTCTGCTACAAGCCACCTTACCGTCATCCATCTTTCGCGAGTTGGACCTGGTTTGGTCTAGCGGCATCGCTTCGGTAGCCAAGGCGCCCGAATGTGGGTATGATTGGGTGCGTCATGAACGTGGGCTGAGCAGTTGTCGACAATGGAAAACACTTCACCGGATGCTATTACTTACTTCCGAATCACACCCCATTTGCATGGGTTGATTGAGAGTGTATGCGGATCGAGTGTTGGACGTGGTGTTGTGTGATAACATAACCGCGCAAAGCGACACCAAGTACAGCACAGCACAAGGCAAGCGATGCGCCAGTTTCAGTAGAGTCTACAGGCTATTCGCTGTGTTCTGGGACTTCAGAAGCATACGCCTTGCGCCATGCTTACATCTTGACGTGGCCTATGGAGGAACTTTAAGGCCATCCCAGAAGATACGGTGAGTTCACTAAGCCACAAAAAGCCCAGACGAGGTCCCATTCGATAATGGAAGGATTCTGTTGTTATTATGGTGAGGTCCGATATTCTGCAGTGCTTGGTGCCTTGTCGTCCCGGTTACTCGGTCTTCGGTCGACGAACGTTTCCTGGTATGCCTCCTGGCAATAGCGCAAACCTTGCGCCGCCATCTATATCTGTGTCTGTTCCTGGCAACCGTGCTACATCATGCGGAGTCTAATTCCCTTCACTTCTGCCCTCTCGTACTCAGTCGCATTGAGACAGAGTGTCCAGAGGGTTCTGTCGGGGATCCAATGAACGCGCCTGCTTTTCACCGTTATCAGATTCAGAGACTTCTCTGGATTGATCACGAACCCACAGCTGTAGCGAGGTCAGAATTGCGAGATCAACGACAAATCAGAAGGTTGAATGGATGAGTCGCATCTCAGGAATACCTACCTAGGTGGCTACTGTTCGTGTTGTGGGCCAAAGCGACGGGAATCGCGAACCCGCTCGGCAATTCGGCCTCCGTCTCTCCGATCTTATCTAGCAAACACCTGTGCGTACGCATCTCGTCTCTTTTTCGCAGCACTCGCTGTCATGCCAAAGATCGAAGGATCGCGATTCACACTGACGGCGCGAACAAATCGGACACCTTGAGCACCTCAACAGAGTACGAAGGTGAACTTTTCGGCTCGGATCCATCATGGCATTCACCGCCAGGCGATGCTAGTATCGTGCAAGGTTTCGATTCGCCCAACGAACCCAAACTCGTCGTGATGTCGACGTCGTCTATCGCATCAATTTGATGCACCAAATACTCAATCAGGCTCGACAACTTCCATCGCCCAGGTACTATATACGCCATGAAGATACCTTTTCCCTATGGAACGTGATCGGCTATCTGCGCAATCGATAGTCAGGGGTTTAAAATGTTGAGGAACACTAAGCACTCGATAAGCCTTGTCGGATTGTTTGATTGCAGGCAGGATTGCCCGGCTTTTGCGTCGGCTATCAGACTTCTCGAACCACAAAGAAAATATGCTGGACCACAGGATGAGCCACAAAAGCACGAGACTGCAGCATGCGCCTCCGTGAATGGCACCTGTCAACAACTCAAGAGCCAACATCAGACTGGCCGCAGGCTCCCTGCCTCATGGTTCCAGCGCCGCCAAGTTGTATCAAATTGCCCAACAGTTCAATTGCCTTGACACCAAGGACGACCATGTACACAAACTGCACGCGAAACATTGCAATTTCGTTGAAGTGTGGCGTCTGCATGGAATACGCTGTACCACATCGGCTCTCCTATAGATGTCCGAATGTCGGTACAAGGTATGCCAAAGTTTCCGAGAGATCATCATCGTTTTTGCCTTGACCGCATCGAACTAACCTCTTTTTAGTCTAGATGCACTAATGAAGAAGCTGCAAGATGTACGCCACTTGTGTCCTCCATCCTTTTTCAGCTGACCACGCGAGAAACAGCCTTTCGGACGAGGGTCCAAATGCTATTAGTCGCTGAATGCATGAGTTGGGCGTTTTGTTGATTCTGCGAACACCCTACGTTGACCAATAACATGATTCATCATCATCATCAAGCTTTTGCGCCTGCACCATGATCGAGACGATCAACACCTTCCCGGATTACCGCCCGCTAGTCACGGATAGAAAGTCAGACCCCAGTCGTACCCGTGCAGTGGAATTCCTTTGCGTATGTCAAATGCTTGTGCTCAGGCACGTACTACCCCTTCTGGTAGAGTCGTCTATCTAAATGCGTTGATCTTCGCGCATCATGCAAGGGTCGGGGGCTCTGCAGTATTGAATACGCGTTCATATTGGGCTACATCGATCAGGAAGTAGCTGGACCGACGACGTCAACCGTTTCACGGGAAACCCTTCGTCGATACTTAAACTCTTCGGAACGCTGCTTCTTCAGCCTGATATCCCTTTTTGTATGACATTCGTGATTCTGCAAGCACAATGTTGGGTCTAACTCAGGCACTGCTGCTGTCGGTGTATGCTGGAGCGGCCTACGCAAAAACTGTTAGCTATGACTTCGATGTCGGCTACGTTACTGTAAGTACTCTTATCCCTAGTCATGACCGAGGGCGATGGGCCACCGATACTTTTCTCTCCCACTGCGAAACGGTACTAACTCGTTCTAGGCTGCGCCTGACGGCTTCGAGAGGCAGGTCATAGGAATCAACGGCAAATGGCCTATTCCTACCATCGAATGCGATGAAGGCGATACTGTACAAGTGACAGTTCACAACAGCCTTCCAGATCAGACAACTGCTCTCCATTTCCATGGTATATGGCAAAAAGGCACCCAGGTCTATGACGGTCCCAGCGGGGTCACTCAGTGTCCCATTCGACCTGGAGGCTCTTTCACTTACACATTCGTTGCCAACCCTGCTGGCACTCACTGGTACCATGCGCACGAGAAAGGACAATACCCCGATGGTCTGCGAGGCAAGATGATTGTACACGACAGAGCCTGGGAAAAGAGCCTGAACATCGACGAACAGAAGTACCTTTCCATGTCAGATTGGTAAGCAAACCCAAACCTGAACATTTTCGCAAGCTTATACCATAAAGGTACCATCGCCCAATGCCAGAGATGATTGAGGAGTATATGAGCCCTTCCAATACCAACGCCGACTTTGCTTCACCCGACTCTTTCCTCTTTGACGACACCGACAAGCCTTTCAACCTCAAGATTGCCAAGGGCAAAAGGTATCTGCTTCGTATCGTCAATACTGCTGCCGTTGCATGTGCCCGATTCCATATCGAAGGCTACACGCTCAGCGTTGTCGAAGTCGACGGTGTGCAATCACATCCCAGGGACGCGGAAACGATTATCATTTGCGCAGGTCAAAGCTACGGTGTGATTGTGCAAGGCCAGAAGGACCCGAAAGGAGGAACCAATTGGATCGCACAAATGGACACAGACATGATGACAAAGCCTCCCCCTTCTAAACAGTCACGAACCATCATCGGAGAGATGTCCTACAAGAAGGACGTCTTCGACGAGATCGATGATGTCATCGACGATATTAGTGATGAGATAGATCACATCCTCGACGACAACTGGACTCCAGCACCAGACACTATCCTTGACGACTTCAAAGTGAAGCCACTTGACAACCAGGGGCTTTTGGGACCAGTTGACAACAACATTGAGCTTACGACCAATCAGACATACTTCGAGGGCGTCGGTACCCGTACACCTCTCAACTCACAACCATGGGTTCCACCTCAAGTCCCCTCGCTCTACACTGCTTTGACAACTGGCAGCATGGATCCCGCAACATATGGTCCCGGCATCAACCCCTGGGTCGTCAAATCCGGCCAAATCGTCCAGATTCACATGCGAAACCCACACATGTACCCCCACCCCATGCATCTTCACGGCCATATCTTCCAGGTCGTCGCCAAGGGTGTCGGAGCTTGGAACGGCGATGAGGACTTGCTTCCGGAAGTACCCACGAAGCGTGATGGTGTCGTTGTTCCGGCTTTCGGTTACGCTGTCATTCGTTTCAAGGCTGATAACCCGGGTGTTTGGTTCTTCCATTGCCATATCGACTTCCATCTAGTTGGTGGTATGGCTGCAACCATCATTGAGTCCCCCGACAAGCTGTCTGGCTCTGTTCCCGCTGCTGGCATCGCACTTTGCGATGCAGGAAAGAAGAAGTCGAGCGGTAATTGCGCTGGCGAGAAGGGAGAGATCTCTGCGAAGGATGCAAGCACCAAGTGCAACAATGTCTACAACACCAAAGTGCGGGGCGCTTTAATTGAGTAGCCCCTCATTGTTCCACAGAACTCTCTTCTTTGTAGAACTTTCGACATTGTAGATGACTACTTTGATATTAATTAGACTTCATATTTCATTACGTAGATATTTACTCTTTGTAATACATGTCAATGGTTCTTGCCACAACCACATCCTCCACTCTTGACACTGACCCTCTTCTTCCAACTCCAGCTCATCTCCGGCTCAGCGATCATCTTCTTCATCTCCGCAACATCCTTATCGCCCCAACCTTTGTCCAACATGCTCATATCCACACTCAACCTTGCATATCGCACCGCCTCCCACTTCATCCCAAAACTACTGTATACCTCCGCAGCATGCTGGTATGCCGTCGCTAAACTAGCATCTAGTCGTTCTTGCTTGTACAGACTGATAAGAAGCTCCGCTGTAGCTGGCGTAGCAGACGAAGACTCCGTCCAGTCATTCAGGATATCTGATTGGAGTGAGGCGATTTGCTCGAGACGAGCATCAGATTCAGCGGCAAGGGCGGGATGCGCAGTGCATGTTGAACAAGAGCATTTGAAGCCCCAACTCTTTTCAAGACCGTGGATGCGTCTCGCGCGAGGTAGCTCGTTGTTGATGTATGTTATTGTTATCTCCTCACCGGGGTGAATGGGCCGGATGGCATGGACGTAATGAGTTAATGTCTTCTCATCGAAAAAGTATGCAGCATTGGGTCGGCAGTCATGGTTCAGCATTGCGATTTCAGGAAATAGCGCTGATTGGGAGATGCCATCGATGGCGACTTCGAAGTTGTTGGTTGTGATGCGGTCATCAATTTCGTCGTCGTCAGGTGTGTGGCCGTGAAGCTCCCAGAACAAAGACTGAGTTGACTTGGGAAGCGTGGCTATGCCGCGGTGTAAGAGGGCTAGGCGTTCGGATTCTGGAAGCTCGTATAGATCGGGGTCGGTGATGAGAATGGGTGTGGAAGCGAAAATCTGGTCGCCTTGATTCAGTGTCTTGTTCGCGACTAGTCCCCTTCCTTTTCCTGGAAACTCGTGCTGTTCAAATGGCGGGTTCTCGTAGCGGTTGATGTGCTCGAGTGTTTGTGGACGTTGGAAAGCATCGTGCTCTAGCATGGCGTAGGCAAAAATTTGCGCGGTGGCGATGAAAATGCCCCTTCCTGATGCAAAATTCTGGTCACTGAAGACGCAGTATGGTTGATCCGGAACCTTCTCGTGAGTGAAACATTCTGGCCAAAACGTCCAAGGGAAATTTTCTGTTTGAGAAGCCAGGTCACGGGCGTCTTCTAGGGAGTTTGTGGGGTGCGAGGGCTGGGTTGTGTTGGATTGGAACGCAAATGTTGATGCCGGCGAATCTCCATATGCTAAAGGCAGGCATTTGCCGTTGTCGAGTAGGTGGTTTGAAGGACAAGCATCCTTTATGAGAGGCGTCTGTGCGACGAGTTCGATCTTCTCGTTGGATAGTGCCAGAGCACCTCCAAGTAGACTGAGGCTGATGGTAGATCTCATGATGAGATAATGTTGTTTGTGGGTGGATACAGTATTCGAACAATGCAGATATAAGAGAAGGGAAGAACGGTTTGGGGTTCAGCTCCGTTCATGTACAAAAACATCTGTATGTCTTGGAAGCACACGTGAAACACGACCTGATCGTGAAGCCAGAGATGAAACGATTCAGCAAAACATGCCGCCCCCAGTCGCGTCCGACGCACTTTACCAATCTACAGAATTGATACTGCGACATTATAGGTGTGAGGCTCCAATTCTTGTTCAAAAATAGTTACCTGTAAGGGATGATTGTTAGCGTGGCTGAGTGTACGCCATGGCGAAGAGTGTTACGAAGCCGAAGCAACCCATCAAATGTACTAGGTAGCTGTAGTAGTCTTTATAAGAACCATGCTATGCTGTTGAGAGATTACTACAAAGGCGACTGTACCTCTCTCTACTTTCCGTCTTAGTTGTGGCGATAATTGCTGGGATGGTGCACCACGGGAATGTGGGGGAAGGGGACATCCATAGGAAGGCACGGAAGCCCTAGAGCGTTTCGAGGGTGAAACGCCAACGCCATCGCACCTCGGCAAAACCTGCCAGTTAGCCTCCATTCAATTTAGCGCGATCCTCAGCACCTGAACCTTCCGACACGTAGTGTAGCCTAGGCTGGAACTTCAAGCTGCAGAGTACTCCATCAATAACGATCAGAAGAAACGAAAATCGTTCGTGTCAATACAGAATCATTACGTACATGGACTCGCTAGAACGCTCAAAAAACCGACCTCAGAACTAGCCCAAACATCCTCATCAAGCATAAGGAAAGCTCACAGTAAAAACCAGGTCTTCCATACAAACGAATACCATAGCCTAGGCAGGTCTGACCCCCTCATACAGCGTATCCAGTTTCAAGTCATCAACGTCTGACTTCCACTCACTCGCACGTGGTAGAACAATGTGCCAACCACGATCTTCTGTCTCTTCCAACAGCGTTGCCGCTTTGTCTTCTGCATCCTCTCGACCTGTTGCACAGATAACGAAGGTAGTGAGGTAAAACATTACGAAGGGGTACTTTGAGTTGATGCAGTGCTGGATGTAGTGTTGCCATGCATTAGCAGACCAAGGACGATCGAATGCTATTGCGTTGTTAGGAACGTGAAGTTAATGAGTGCAGTGCTGAAGACTTACGAATTGCATTCCAACGATATATATGACCTTCCCAAGTGGCAAATGTCAATCCGATATTACCAAGACTCTTAATGACGGGCATGGGCCAAGCGCAATAATGCGTTTGTATCGAGCCTTTGGCCATGATACCATCGGGACATTGCTGTTTAAAAGCTTGAGCGAAGTCTAGCAAGCAAGAGGCGGAAGGCAGAGGGAGCTCGGGTATCATGGAGGTCTGGTCGCTGTCATCGTACGGGAAGTATAGATCAAGAGCGCCATCCGAGCCCTGCATGATCACTGGACGAGTCTGAGGCTCTTCGTACTCCTGGACTAGGCTGACGATGCCGCAGCGCTCCATGTCGTCGACGACTCTTCGGACGAAGCGATTGGAGTCCCGCGAACGGACCTCCGTTGCTGTCTTCTTTTGATGGGCTAGTATGGCGTTTCTGTCAGGAGCGTGGTGTCGGTATCGGTGGCCTTCGTACTGCACCTCGGGTGGCGCGGGGAAGCGCATGTCAGACGAGCATTCAATGGTCATCTCTTCCAGAAACATCTCTTGCACTGAGGGTGGTATGACTTCAGACACGACTCGTTTCGCTATCCGCCGAGGTGAAGGGTCACTGGCGAGCATGAGCAACGTGTCTTGAACAATGTCGATCAGCTCGAATGGCATACCCGCGTCGCGATCGATGATGATGAATTGCCACGAGTCAACAACGATAGGGTCGTACATGGAGGTCTTACGCAACCGCAGATCGTTCTTAATATCTTCCAATGTGACCAAGGTAGTCCAGTCCGGTTCAGCATCGTGCGCAGAGCTCTGCACGGAATGCGTACGCTTTATGAATAGGTCGGCCTCGGTAGGATGGACTGTAGCATCGACATTCGTGCCTTCATAGACGACAAGATATAGTCTTTTCGTTCTTCTGCGTAGCTCATCCAAGAAGTATCGGGTCTTGGAATCGCCCATAGCCATTTGCCCACAAAGGTAGTTTCTTGCTTCGGTTTGTACTAGTCCATCGTCCTTGCTAGTAGTGTTGATTGTCTTGGTGAAGTCTCCCTTAGTTGTGGGGATGAAACCAAAATAGATACCGGTGGCGCACTCGCTCAGAATGCTTGAAGTGTTGTACCAGTGCTCGCGGTACAGCCCGAGCATGAGCAACTTGCAAAGCGTAGTGTAGTCCTCGAAGTTGGAACATATGCTCGCCACAGTCCAAGGAGTAAGTAGCGTTGGGAACCAGCGGTACCTAACAAACGTTAGCAACAATCAATAAATTTATGTGTAGCACTGACAATATGTCCCAGCACGGCTTGGTCATTCGAAGACCTTCACTAGTGCTAGGCACGTCTCCTCCGAGTAGCCGAACAGTCTTCATATCACCACCAGCGAGTGTTTGCGCGCAGATCGCCGCTCGAAGATATTGCACAGCATGAGGCCTCCAGGCCTTCTCGAAGAAGTCGCAGTACATCTCCAGTTGGCTCGCTTGGCAACCGGACAAGTACTCGCCTATACTCTTCGATCTTGTGGCACGCTCAAGTGCGTCAGCCTCGCTGTCATTCAGTATCATTATTCTGAACCAGGCGCATATAATCTCGGTTCCGGTATCTCCGACGGTGTCATCTTGTATCGGGGAGTCTGATAGTTGAGAAGAGAAGCGTAAATCAGGCAGAATGCAATACAGGCGGCGGATCGCGTCGGCACACAAGTCGGTAGAGAAGTGTTTGAGAACAACTATAGTGCCGTCGTCAATGCCCTGTAGCGATCCGATTGGTATCGCAGGCTTCAGTGGAGACTGTAGTATCATGATCTGTTCTGAACAGCGGTTGTCGTAGAGATCACCTGGCGTATCCGGTAGAAGCGTGCGATTCAGGTTTGACACTAGTAAACGTCAGCGTAGGATCAGAAAGCGCCCAGCTGGTATGACACGTACTAAGAATCATGTTCGCCAATGTCCTGACCTCTTTCTCCAGCCTTGCGATCCATTCTATGAAATCTACAGTGTCGATCCCCCGAGTGTGGAATCTTTCCCTAATGCGACGACGAAGTTCGACAGCTAAACGGAGCTTAAGAACTTTCTGTTTCGCTGTGTGTGCGTCGAAGACCACAATCTTTTCGGCTGCAAGTTGGAGGTTTTCCCATCGTGTACTCAGGTCATTCTGTTCCCTGAGATGCCAGTTGCACCAGGTCTGATCCTCGCTCGATAGTTGGAGATGGCAGCGCCGTCCGTCCGTTTCTATAGCATCGCAACGACTGCCCTGAATTGCCGGCGACTCAGGTGGTTCGCATGTGTGGATGAGGTTGCGTGCTTTCTCTCTAGACCTGAACCGGCGTCTTTCGGGCTTATGAACATACAGCAGGAGACTCATCGGATATAATAAAGGAAGGAAAGCAAGCAGCTTTTAGATCCACTAATGCTAGCTTGTATGCATATGAACCGAATGAAATGATCAAATGAGAGAAGTAACGAAGGAATGTACAGTAGAGGAATAGTATAAAGGGTCGCAGGAATGTAGCCTTACCAACAGCGCGGATGTCAGATACTAATGGTACCACGCCTCAGGCCCTGAAGGTCGGAAGATACGCTAGGTGAACACGGACGCATGTTGTAGCAATGGAATGGCGTAGGGCTTTATGCAGGCTACTACCAACCGCAATTGTCGGATTGCTGCATCTGCCTTTCTCATTCGCCGACTTCAGCGCGAAGCGGTTGAACTGGAAACCCCTTTGCAGCTTCCACTCCTGCAGTGTTTTGAAACGGCTAGCAAAGCGGCTATTTTAAGCGCTGTGGATGGCCCGCCTGATGTTGGGGATGCGCAACGAGTAAACAGAGATATAGTGTCGAGATAGACAGCCTCCATTGTTTACTTATATGGGAACTATATAGTTTTGATGTTAGATGCATCGGCCTATTCGAGAGTACACCTGATTAATGCGCATCGAGGTGAACGCGATTTCAGAACAAACACTCCCGTGTTGCGTGCTTTAGATTGGTATCGTGGAAATAAGCGAGTGGTGTTCACAGCGGGCGGGTAGCTATCTTACATCATTGGTGGCTAGCGAGAAGGCTGGGGGCTGAGCGCTCAGTTTGTCCGATCTTACTACGCCCTGTAAGTGCAACACTAACATCCATGGTTATAGCAACGGCCATTTCTTGGTATCAGGTACGCCTGACATCACAGGGCTATGTGTGTGTGTGTGCCGTCCGCATGGTATGTAATTGCGCTCGGAAGGTCTCGCCATCAGCGCTTGTCCGTGCCGTGTGGTCACTCAACCGCCAAATACCAGTGCAAGTCACGATGCGTTTTCACCGCCTCTTCTTGTTCTTGAGGTGAAGCTTCAGGAGACACGCGCGACTCATCGGTGAGCGGGTTATCGTCACGAGGGAGTGTTGGCAATGGTTTCAGCATGCGCCCGCCAGCTAGTGCTCTCCCCGCTGTACGCGACCGTATCCTCGAGGGCTGTTTGCAAAAATGTAATGGAAGTAGCGACAAAACTGTCTCCTTTCTTGTTTTCGATGTATGTATGTCGTGTAGACCATGGGGAGATGAACGCTGGGGAAATACGGGGAAAGGTCCGACGCCTCCGATCCAGATCCACAGTCGGCATTTACCCATGACCCCACATTTTCGGTATACCGAAAGTAGGAATTGGGGTAGCTCTCATCCGAGGTTGCGCTCTGGTGCGATGCATGGCATCATCATGGAGTCTCTCCAAACGCTTTACACGCGGTCTCTATCCTTATTGCCGTTTCTAGTACTCCCTAAACATCACTCGAAGAACATTTCATTCCACAAAGTGACTACCTGTATCTCCAGGCACACGTAACCCCCGCATTGCTTTACACACCCGTGTAAAGTACATCACAACTCCCACACCATGGTGATCTCAACAGCAATCCGTATAGCGCCTACAAGGGCAGCACGCGCACTCAACCTCCTCCGCACCGTACAATATACGCATCCTCCGTCATGTCCTTGCCATTCAAATCCCAATTACCACCAATCGCCGGCTACCGTACAGCAAGCACGCCGACACCTCGCAACGCCCCTCGACCAATTCCAGCAGAAAGAATATGCTTTCGAGATGGCAGCATCGAGCATACGATTTGGGCCTGGATGTACAAAGGAAGTGGGTATGGACTTCAAGAATATGGGAAGCAAGCGCGTTATGGTCGTCACAGACCCGAACGTGCGGAAACTAGATGCCATGAAGCAGGTCATTGAAGGTTTGGAGAGGGAGGGTGTAACGTATGAGATCTTCGACAAGGTCAGGGTCGAGCCAAAGGACCATAGCATAAAAGAGGCGATCGAGTTTGCGAAGCCGTGGAAACCAGATGCATACTTGGCTGTTGGTGGTGGCAGTGTTATTGACACTGCCAAATTGATGAACCTGTACACCACGTTCCCCGAGGCAGACTTCCTGGATTTCGTCAACGCCCCGCTCGGAAAGGGAATGCCTATTCCATCGAAGCTTTTCCCACTCATTGCCGTACCAACAACAGCAGGAACTGGATCTGAGACTACCGGTACAGCCATCTTCGATCTGGTCTCCAAGCGCGCGAAGACGGGTATCGCTCACCGCAACTTGAAGCCTACGCTGGGCATAGTTGACCCATTGAACACACGTACCATGCCCTCTGCGGTCCACGCCTCTTCAGGTCTTGACGTACTTTGCCATTCTCTTGAATCATGGACTGCGATACCGTACTATGAGCGCACTCCGCGACCTACCAACCCCATCAACCGTCCAGCCTACCAAGGCGCGAATCCAATTTCCGACATCTTCTCTCTCAAGGCTCTGAAGGACACAGTCAAGTACCTACCTCGCGCAGTCAAAGACCCTGATGATCATGAGGCGCAATCCCAGATGTTGCTAGCTGCAACACTCGCTGGTGTTGGTTTCGGCAATGCAGGTGTGCATCTCTGCCACGGCATGTCCTACCCTATCTCAGGGCAAAATCCCGGATACAAGCATGCTGGCTATGACGTTGATCACACCATCATCCCGCATGGTGTTAGTGTTGCAGTAACGGCACCAGCAGTATTCAAGTTCACTGGCGCATCAAACCCGGAGAGGCATCTGGCCGCTGCCGAGGCATTTGGTGTGGATATCTCAAATGTCAAGGCAGAGAGTGCGGGAGAGGTGTTGGGTGAGGCGCTAGCAGAATTCTTGATCAAACTCGGTGATCAACCACGCGGTCTAAAGGCGCTTGGCTTCGGAAAAGAGCATTTGGACCAGTTGGTTGAGGGCACAATTCCTCAGGCGAGAGTGCTGATGCTAGCACCCAGCTTAGAGATGCAGAACGTTGATGCCGAGAGAGAGCAGTTACGGGGTTTGTTCGAGGATGCTATGGAGTACTGATCGTAGCCACGGTGACTCTGTGACAGAGTGTCGCATATAGGGGGCGTTGGTGACGTTTGAATCTGGATGCTGAGGTTTGGACGAAGACGTGAATGCATATGCAGTTGCATGACTGTAGAAAGTTTTACAGAATTCAGAATACGATGTGTCTCTGTCACATCACAGTGTTGTTCTCCATGTTGAGCTGAAACTATCTTTGAACACCCTGTACTTGAAGGCATGACAAATATTTGCTCCACAAGCCACGGGAAAGTCGACAGGGGTTCCTGTTAACCTTGGAAGTTCCATAGCTTAGGATCCAAACACCAGGCTACTTGTCTGTTGCAAGTTAATCGGTAACAGGTGGTATGTTGATGGGGGTCCTCGGAGCTACTGTGGGGTTACCCATGCGCTGCGGAAGCAATGACAATCTTCTCGCTTTGGCGCAACACGATGGAGCGACGATACGTCAACGACGCTGGATGAAACCATGTGAACAGAGCATCTCCCGCGCGATCTCCCCTAGGATCGTGGCGCAGCCCGTCAAAAGTCATTTCCTAGTGCAGATCGCGCTCGCAACTGGAAGAAGCGCTCCCAATGTTGACGTCATGGGTCCAGCCAGGCCTCGACGATGCCCTGCTTCTCTAGGATGGATGCATGTCGATCTAGATTCACACTCGGGGCTTAAATCAAACTTAAACCCCCTCCCTGGACCCTGATTTTACCCTGCAAAATAGTTTCTACCTACTACTCTAGTAGCCATCTTTGTTCCCCTCTTGCATCACAACTGGACGGGCTCATTTCCGAAATAACGCGAACCCCGCCTTCAACCAACCAACCAAATATCGCTAGCCGCATCGGTCGAGCTCCATAACAACACCGTTCCTGTATACGTGCGAAGACACGTTCCACAACCACACCTTGGAGCACTGAGTATTGTTACACACCTACAATATGTCTGCGCCTACCTCTGCTACGAGTGAGATGCCCACGCGCAGTCTCACAAATCGATCTGCCGACGAAGATGCTATTCCAGGAGAGGATACCTCAGAGGTGAGTAGTCTAAAGCCCAATGGAAGGAAATAAACCTGACATGTCCCAGGTCACGAAGCTGTTTGCAGAGCGATTGCAAGCTTGGAAACACGCCGTTGCGTACCTCGAAGACTATGTTACCGCAACCGAGAAGACGAACCACGCACACGGCAAGGAGTATGAGCGAGTCTTGAAGGTTGGTGCAACTCACGCGAAAGTGGTTCTATTGCTGACGTTCAAAAGACGGTCAAGGATCCCCTGAAAGAGGGCCACCACTTCGACCAGTCGCTCGGCGGTGTTGCGGGCATGTTCGAGAACATCAGGTCCAACACCCAGGTACGCCATCTTTCCACACAAAAACCCAACGACTCTTCTAACAATGTCAGGGCATCTCCAACCAACACTACGAGACCGCGAAGCAGCTGAAAGGCGCCGTCCTCCCCATCTTCGACCGCCTGCACACTGAGATCAAGAACAAGAGCAAGGAGCTCACAAAGGGAGCCGGAAAGGGCAGCAAGGCTGTCGACAAGGCTCGCCAGCACACCCAGAAACACATTGAGCTTCTTGGTCAGCACACCGCAGTCTTCGACTCGCACAGCGGCAACATGAAGGCCACCGACGACCCCTACATTCTCCAACGCGGAGTCAACCACCGTCTGTACAAGCAAGTGCAGGAGGAGAACAACAACCGCCAGGACCTGATCAGTGTGCAGAACTCGTTCGCGCAATTCGAAGCCCACATCATCCAGACAATCCAGCATGGCATGGGCCAGTTCCTGCAGGTCGTCAACACCCAAGCCGAGCACACCAAGGCTGCATACTCCGACATGGTCGGCACATCCCAGCGCATCCCTCTCGACTTTGAGTGGAATGGCTTCATCCAGCGCAACAACACCGTCCTGATCGACCCCTCAGCCCCGGCCCGCAATGTCTCTGACATCAGCTTCCCCAACCAAAACCACCGCTCCACCCAGCCACTCATATCCGGCTCTCTCGAAAAGAAGGGCAAGATTATGCGCTCCTACGACACAAACTACTATGTCGTTACTCCCTCCAAGTTCCTCCACGAGTTCAAGACAGACGACGACTTCGCTAAGGACCCAGTCCCCGAACTGTCTCTCTACATCCCCGACTGCGTCATCGGTGCCGTCAACGGTCAGAAGTTCAACGTCAAGGGCAAGGACGTGTCCAAGGGCAAGATTGGCGGTGCTTTCTCCATGACACACGAGTTCGCGTTCAAGGCACACACTCCACAAGCTGCAGAACAATGGTGGGACGTTATCCGCCAGGCAGCCGGTAAGGTGACCAACGAGGCACCGTCCAGCGTACCTACCAGCCCCGTCTCCGGCGACACCAGCCCTCAGAACATGTTCCCTGAAGAGAAGACGCAACCCGCTCCTATCCAAACCCAGGGTCTAGAGAAGACTGGTACCAACGTCACCGACCACGCCAGTGCGCCAGGCTCCGCTGTGCCAGGAAGTGCGACTACGGCGCCCTCTAGTGCTGTCCCAGGCGAGCCAGGAAAATACTAGTGAAACAGTCTCATGATTGCTACTTGTACATCTGAGGAAGAGGAGGTCGAAATGGAGGAAGTTGCACATTGAGTATTGCGGCTTGTTGAATATATACACATACCCCTTTGCTGTTGAATAGTACTAATACATTCTAATGCTTCTGAGACTCTTTTCGTGCCGTCGTGCCTTTCTGTCTGAGGTTGTGAGCTTCTACTCGATGAGACTTTGTAGTTCTCATTGTGTTTCTCTTGTGGTCGTGCTAGATGATCAATCCCACATCTGTCGTACATTCAAGTTGACCCGTTTATTCCGCATCCACCCTCTCCACCCCTCATACAGCGAGGTTTGTCTATCTGCCCTCGCAGGCCAGTCTATTAAATACTCAGGACACGTGCCCCCTACTATCTGCGGAACACCATGCCATGCAAACCTCGACTCTCCGCTCATATATACTGCGCTTCCTGATCTCAACCTCAGCGTAACAATCTTTTCCTCACTGCCTTCTTCTTTCTCCTTGCCATCCTTTCCCTTTTTCGGTACTGAAGTTCCAAGAACGAAGATGGCATCACATCCCAGACTCACGCTAACTAAACCCGTCCCACTGCTTTCAGCAACATCTCTATGCACACTCAGCGTATCGCCTGGTGAATAGAGATTTACAATCGCGGCTTCAGCTTTCGTAGACGTAAATAGAGACTCTAAAAGCTTCTTTGTATCTGAAGGGAAAGCTGGAGGTGGGGTGGTGGGGTAGCGTTTCGCAGTCCAATCATACTGGCCGCCTAGAGTCGTCCATCGGAGTTTCTTGTTGAGGAGTTGCAGGATGGATAGAGGCTTGTGAACTGTGGGGTCGAGGGGATGGGCCATGGGTGAAGGGCAAGTAGGCGGGACGGAGAAGAAGGATGACTGGGAGGACGGATATGACAACTTGTAGTGGGTATGGATGTTTGTGAGATGAGATGGATTAGAGAGATCGCGGTGGAGAAGGTGGGACAGCAGTGTGGATTGAACGGATGGGGGTAGGAGTGAGGGGATGATGTGGAGGCCTACTTACCTGTTACTACGAAACATGGATGGGAAACCAAAGCAGAACAAGACCACAGTAACATTTACGAAAGTAAATCTCAAAGTCTCCTACCTGGCATGTCTTCGTGTTCGTATACCGGTATCGATCTTGGTATATCCGTGTCTTGAAGTTCTACCCCATCTTCACCGGCGAACGCCTGGAAAATAGCGGTCAAGTCTTCTGCGGTGTATTCTCTGACAACGCGCACTCGGCCACTTGATGACGCGGAGGCGTCGCTTGATAGATCAATGATGTCCCCATCTAGATCCAAGTCGTTCAACTTCATCTTTTGATACTTCTTGTAGACATTGCGTATGCCGTCTGGAGGGCGTTCATGGGGGTCCAAGTGATGCATTTTGGGTAAAGCCTTTCCAGTAGCAAATCTCAGGAAGCCGATTGCATATGCCAAGATGAGTTCCAGGCAGCGCAAGCGTTCGGTAGTGGAGGTGTAGGGATGTTTGAGAATTGTGCCAGCAGGCGTTGACTAAGCTCGCGTTTTGTGGCTGACGGGTGCGCGTTGCCCGATGCGTCAAGGGTGTTTACATGTCGAATTTCCTAACATTGACACCCTCGTTCCCTGATCCCCGCCGCACCTTCGTCCTTACCCGCACTTACTAACCACAGGTACACTTGAGCTTGCTAGAGAGGCATCCGACTGTCTTCGCCTCCACTCGCTATCTTTTGATCTCGCTGCGAAACAGCGCCCCTGCCATCTACCTAAACACGCTTGACCGCCTGTCTCTCGTCTGGAGCATTCGCAGTCCATAGCCGCTCACAATGGAGAACTACCAGAAGCTGGAAAAGGTCGGAGAGGGTATGACATCCCCTGTGAAGTCTTCTTTCATCACGCGCCCTTACTCACGTCAAACCAGGAACTTACGGAGTTGTCTACAAGGCGCGCGACCTCACCACCAAAGACCAACGCATCGTCGCCCTCAAGAAGATCCGTCTCGAAGCCGAAGATGAAGGCGTCCCGTCAACCGCCATCCGTGAGATCTCCCTTCTCAAAGAGATGAACGACCCGAACATTGTCCGCCTCCTCAACATCGTACACGCCGACGGACACAAGCTATACCTCGTCTTTGAGTTCCTTGATCTGGATCTGAAGAAGTACATGGAAGCGCTACCAGTGAGCCAGGGTGGACGAGGCAAGGCGCTGCCAGAGGGCTCTGGTCTGGCGGGTCAGGCTCTGAGCATGGACGACAAGATGGTGAAGAAGTTCATGATGCAGCTGTGTCAGGGTGTGCGGTATTGCCATGCTCATCGCGTGCTGCATCGCGATCTTAAGCCCCAGAACTTGCTCATCGACAAGGACTGTAATCTCAAATTGGCTGATTTCGGTCTGGCTCGCGCATTCGGTGTCCCGCTGCGAACATACACACACGAGGTATGGATGTGAAAATTTTGAACCTTTTTTGAAGCTTTCTAACACAAAACAGGTCGTCACGCTATGGTACCGCTCTCCAGAGATTTTGCTTGGTGGTCGTCAATACTCTACTGGTGTTGACATGTGGTCTGTGGGATGCATCTTCGCTGAGATGTGCACGCGCAAGCCCTTATTCCCTGGTGATTCGGAGATCGACGAGATCTTCAAGATCTTCCGGTATGCAAACTCGACTCACACATTCTATTTCAGATGCTAATCGTGTCTAGTATCCTCGGCACCCCCAACGAGCAAGACTGGCCCGGCGTTACCTCCTTCCCCGATTTCAAGCCCTCGTTCCCCAAGTGGGGTCGGACGGACGTCGCGAACATCGTCACCAACCTCGACGAAGTTGGTCTTGACCTCCTGGATGCACTGCTCGTATACGACCCCGCTGGTCGCATTTCAGCAAAGCAGACGGTCATCCACCCGTACTTTGGCGGTATGAATGGTGATACACGACACGAATACAGCAATGGCTACCACTAGGCTGTCCCAAGGGGACGCTACGACTGTTACGCATTTGGTGGCTGCATGATTGGTGAGCAACACGAGACGTTAGTGTCTACATGAGATTTCCCGCTTTGTTCTGGATACAAGGATTAGGGCTGTACCCCATCGGACAGCAAGCGGCGTTCCGGTCAGGATATGTTACAAAGTGTATACATGCAATACTACATACAACCACATCAAGCTGCTTCAATTCTTGCATAGTGTTGTGCTCAACACCTGACTCGCGATCATGTCTTTGGTGTTGCGAAATGACGTAGCGCGACATGCCCCACCTCAGCCCTACGGGACCCGTGTTGAATGCAGGAACGCGTCCACGTACCACATGTGCAGGTCCCTGACTTTACGGTCTCCTCACCACACTTGCTTTCTAGTTATTGAGCATAATGACTTCTGCCACTCCGAAATTGCTTCCCGTATCCACCGGCCCACGCCTTATCGTTTACCACCAGACCTACCACGACTCCAACGGCAACTACCACTCGCTGCTTCCGCTGCTCACCAACAACACCGGTATCACGCATGTGATTATTGCGGCCATCCACCTCAACGACGGCGCGGGAAACATAACGCTGAACGACCACCACCCCGATGACAAGAGGTACGACCAGCTATGGGGCGAAGTGAATTGGCTACAAGGTAGCGGGGTCAAGGTGCTGGGTATGCTGGGAGGAGCAGCAAAGGGCAGTTTCGAGAAGCTTAGTGGAGAGGAAGAGAATGTACGACACAACACCTGCGAACCCATGTCATGCTACAGTACATGGAGGCTAACCAAGCAATCAGTTCGAAGCATACTACTCGCCCCTTCGCGACCTGATACGCCGTTACTCCCTCTCAGGCCTCGACCTCGATGTCGAAGAAGAAACCACCTTATCTACCATCACGCGCCTTATATCCCGCCTGCGCACCGACTTCGGTCCCGAGTTCGTCATAACTCTTGCGCCCGTGGCCACGGCCCTTATTCCCGACCCCAACATTCCCGCGCACCTTCGCCCTCCCCGCCCCATGCTCGCATCGGGACCGAGCCCCAATCCTCTGCACCCCACTTTACCGCACCTCAGCGGGTTCAGCTATCCAGAGCTGGAGTGCAGTGTTTACGGTAAAGAGATCAGCTGGTACAACACACAATTCTATTGTGGATGGGGTGATGCAGGGAGGACAGAGTGGTATGATGCAATCGTAGCGGCGGGCTGGAAGCCAGAAAAAGTGGTTCTGGGTGTTGTCACGAACCCTGGGAATGGGGCCGGACACGTTAATATACAGAAACTAGCAGATAATTGCAAGAAGTTACGACAAAAGTATGGGAATACTGGCAAAGGCTTTGGGGGTGTAATGGGATGGGAGTACTTTAATGCTGGAGATTGCGAAGAAGATCTTGTCCACGTTTCGAGTCTGGAGTTGGATAATGATACCGTGCAGGCTGGATGGGTCAAGGCACTGGGCAGGGTGTTGCGCACAGAGGAAGAAACCAACACGGGGCAAACACCATTGCAAGGTATCACAGCTGATCAGATCCGCAGCATGGTGAGTAACCTCCCTACTGCTAGAGCAGCTTGGCCAGACGAAGAGATAGGCAAATTGGTGGTGTTGGGGTTCTCGCGTCAAGAGGCTATTGCAGCATTGAATGCTACGGATGGAAATACGGAAATGGCAGCGGGGTTCTTGTTTGAACATTACCCGAGTTAGTTGGTGAAGGGAACATAGGATTCGTGTTAGGGGCATAGTGCATAGATACATGGAGATGTTGTAATGAATGATGGTTTTGGTGGTGCGCCGTGTGATGGAGTCAACGTTGTTGTGATGCAAGGCACACTTGGTGACATTCAAGGCAATCAACCCCCACGCCCTTGTGTCCTACTCAGACGGGATAAATTACCATGTCAATCCGCAGGACCTTACGCCGATCGCAAGTGGAAGTTTATTCCATCGTTCGCAGGGCGAGACTTTGTGGTTAGTTAGGCCTCAGTACAGTACAAAGCCCCTGCACAAACCACGCATAGTCGATACGTCTGGTACCCCAATACGGGATACAGACAAAACGAACCGAAAGATTTGTATCAAACCCGACTCGGGTCAAACTACGCGTTCTAGAAGGACTTATGGGCGGGGTTCATTGGGTGAAGAATGCGGATGCTCTGCCAAATCAAGGTTAGTTTACAAGCATGGATATCTTCCGGCCATCTGCCCGATTATCCCGGTGTTTTACCGATATGCGCCGTTTACGGAGGCTTGTAGCTTGGGACCTGAGAGGTGGAGAAACTACAGTAGTCTGCGCGTGATCATCATGCTGTTCATTCAATTAAGGTATACAGAAGGCACGATGGACGTCGCACGGAGATTCCCTGCATGTAAGGCATGAGTCAGGCTCAGTCAAGGTCACTTGCAAAACAAATTCTAGGTGACACATGCACATGCACATGCAGCAAGGGTAGTTTGAACACAATGACGATAGTTTGGTATTAAGCTACCAGTAATGACAACTATGCGCGTGGGGTATTGCTTCCTCTATCCTGATATCCGCCTAACCTAACCCAACCATGAGTGGTGAAGCCAAAGAAATGTCTATGTCTATATCTATACAATGTCGAATGAAAGAAGTTGCACCAATGCTATCGTGATAACCATGATCGTGACCATGAGACTAGAAAATAAAAAGAGTAGAGTAGAAACGACAACCGCCTCAACGAGCTTCAGAGATGTCCGTTGCTGACAGTGTCTCTGTTCTTAATGGAGATCGCTCTCATATCTTCACCGGCTTTGGAACTTGCAAAAGCCCGTTTTTGCTGTTCCTCTTACAGCGACTTCGTAATGCCGAAGTTGGCGACAGGAATCTCGACGGACTTGTCGCTGATGGCGAGGTACGCGGTACATGTAGCGAGCTGTTTGACGACGATGACGATGAAGCGGGTGTTGTTGGTGTGAGCGGAGTAGTGGATCGACTGCTACACAGCGAATCGGGTATTAAATCATGTTCCTCAAACTGAACCATGAAGACAACATAGAAATGGGGAAGAAGTCTGCAACAAGATGGAAGAGTATGTTACCTTCCATCATCGCTAGTCCTGGGGCTCCCATCCCTAGGACTCTGCCTCCTGCTGTTCATCTGTGTATTGCGATATGTCTCCTCATTCAGCGTATCCAGACTTCTTGCCGGACTAGGCGTCGTACCTCTACTACCACGACTCCTGGACGGAGAGCTAGGCCTTGAGGTAGCAATCTCATAGCTCGGCAAATCCATGTCCATGCCGCCAGGGGTCCTGGAACCAGCAGGCGTACGAACAGCCGTGTTGTAACTAGGAGTGCGGGCCAGAGCGTCCATATCGTAGTTGGATGGCGGGAGGTCGAAGTAAGCCTGCTCGCTGTCGTGTGCTGGTGTACTATCACCAGACGAGTGTTGACGAGTAGGCTGGAAGCGATTGGGACGGTCGCTGTGATCCATGCTAAGGTTTGCGAGGCGATGTTGCAGAGCTGCTGCTGATGCGCCGCCACCGGGTTGGTGGAGGGCTGCATCCAGAGATGTGAGATTCTCAGATGAGCCGCGGCGACTTTGCGCATAAAAGGGTGTGTTGGCGCCACTGTTCATCATGCTGTGCATCCCGCCAGGGGTCATGAAGCCGGATGGATCAATGTCGTTGTAGAGAGAATCCAGTTGATGCAGGCCATACGTAGGAGGCGCATTCTGGTTGACCTCGTCCTGTATCGCTTGCTGGTTCAAGAGAGCCTGGTCAACTATCACACTCTGGTCTTCGTTCGGAGGTAGGTTCGGGGAAATGAAGAGGTGCACATGGTTCTTGACCAGCAGTTGACTAGTGTGACCTTCTGGGTTCTTGAGGTTCACGTATAACCGCAGCTTGTGCGTTAGCCGTATGTTCTCGGTATCCACTGATTGCCGGCAGTTCTTGAGCGATTTTGGCAAATCGAGAGTCATGGAGAAGCGATGCGATTCGTCAAATAGCGCATCTGTGTCTTCTGTTCCGTCTGGGACCCTGCGCGCCGAGTTCTCTGGCATATCGCCTTCGGTCACCGCAACTTGCATGTCGTTCTGGTGACTTATCCGGCGACCAGCGTAGTCGGCGAATAATTGCCGTGACTCTATCAGCTCCATCTTGATTGTTGAGATCTCCACACCCTTACGCAGGGGAATCAACACGAAATCAGCCGTTATGGACGTTCCGACAATGTAGTTCTTCTGTGGAACAGTAATCTTGTATGCCAATTTGTTGGCCCAGATATCCTCGTTGATTTGCTCCATGGGCATGGATTCGAGCATGTCGCGTCCGAGCGTGCGTATGACACGGATGTGCGCCGTAGCACTGAGCTGCTTGCTCATGTACCCTCTATCCACGTGGGCCTTTAGGCTGTAAACCACCCAGTTTGTCGGTAGACCCTCAACGCTCTGGTCGAGGTTGGCAGGCATCTTGAACTTGAAATCCCACTCATGGTATCCAGCATTGAGTTTGTGCGCTTTGGTCTTGCTGCCGATGTCGACGGGAAATAGATGGAGTTCTTCGACGAGGAAGTTGGTCTTTTGCGTGATAGGCTGCGGGCTTACGGTGTTGGTCAAATGCCATCTGTTTGCAAAGAATTAGCATGCGATCGTGCAAAGGGCGATCGTCTTCAGAAGTTGCACACAAAACCGAAGCCCACCCAAGATACGCTGTCATCAGTCTTAAGCCTTTGCAAGCAAAACACCTAGCGAATACCTTTCGGGCGGTCTTCGGTATTTGGTGGTATAATTCATAGAAGCGATCCTGTTCGTAGAAAGGGGTGTTACCGTACGAGACTTTCCGGGTGCCTGTGAGTGTGATTCGCAAGCTCCTCACTGACATGGACTCTGGGTTGTTCAGAACCAGCTTTCCCCTCAACTCCGTCTCATGCGACTCGGAAGACTCTCCATAGAAGACAACGAAAGGCGACTCAGGCCTGAGAATTTGTTAGATTTGGCCATGGTGGGGTTGGACAGTAGGTAAAGCGTACTTGATCTCGAGGGTAGGCGCGGCGTTTCTGCCGAATACCCCGACACCTGGGCGAGGCATGATGTAACGAGGGTCAAGTAGAAAATTACAAGGGAAACACAACCACCATAACACTCTTTGAGTCGAAAAGGCGGAAAGCCAGCAGATAAGTATCAGCTGGGTCTAGTCGCAGGCTGACGTAAGGATGGGTAACAATCGGTAGGGGCAGCTCGTATGGTATGCGAATGTGAGCAAGCTGGATTGGGGCTGAGAAGAAGCGTGGGTGGGAAGTAGGGTTTAAAGCAGGTGTAGGACTTGTGTCATTCGACGGAAGGAACACCCGTCAAGGATATGCAGAGTAAGGTAAGGGCTTTGCTCAGCGCGGCCGCGTGTTGGAACCGCGTTAGATATACCAGAAAGCGTGGGATATGCGGGCAAGGGCGGCCTGCCTGCCCAAGCAGCTGCACCCTGATGAGCTCATGGGCATAAGTGGAGACGGCCTGTAGCTGCTCGCATCATTGTCTCTAGTTTAGCGCGCTTCTCTCACTTGTCTTAGAATTTTCTGGCGGCGATTAGGCGTCGCATTGGCAGAGCAGGGGGCGTCAAAGAAGGTGTTCCGATAAGCCTCCCGCGGACGGCGGCGATAGCAACGCAAGCCTCTTTTCGATCGATGCGAGTAACCTTCAGGGGAGTTGCGCGCTCTCTGGGGATCATTCGGCGCAGAACTCGGACATGTTGTACAGCCCGCTCAGCAACCCAACGCCTACTGCATGTGCTACAAGGGAGGAGTCATGGAGACGTATCCAGTGTTTTGCTTGCGGCTCTCCCGAAGATCTGTGGTACCGCCAGGGCTTCTAGGGTTTCTATGTTAGCGATTGCGCCACACATGGAATGGCCGCCGCCATCTTGCATCGGCCAACCTGCAAGGGAAATTTCGAAACGATGGTGAGCTGCGATGCACCTCGCCGGTTGCACGTCAAAATGTCCATCGTCAACCAGTCCAAACTGCTCGAACCAAGGTGGCCTGACACGGAAGCATTAGGGCTGTACATGTGAGAGCGTTGCGTGTCGTTGGTGAGGGGTTTCACTATCAAAGTTTGCTATGCTATCGACGCTTGCACAATCTTTCTGCAGCCTTCACATGTCACACTGACTTCATCTCAACACAATGACTGTCCGGTCACGCCGTCACCGTTTTACCGCCACGATGAAACCGGCACCAGCCTCTCCAACGAGTTCTAACAAGCCCGCGATATGCACTCACTCTATACCTTAATCTCGGTCCGAGCGGGCACGGTCAGGAAAATCTGCGGCTAGACCTGCATTGCCGCAACTGTGGGTATCAGCAGAGCCTCATCAGAGCTACGTACACTGTACAGGCCCACAGTTGAGAGAAGCGATGCGGCTACCGCTACAAATTCCCGCACGCGCGCCGTGAGTATCCACTGACCTAGGAAGTCGTGGTCGTAAGAGACATGTTAGTTACCGGCCGGAAACACTGTCGCACTGTCGTGATTTTCACACCATGTTGCATGGTGGAGATAAGGAAACTTGATTTTGCGACGTTGTAACAATGGAGTACTGCTGTACCCGTGGTTCTAGAACAAGAGGCTCCTTCGCATGCATGCACGTAAACGTGCATATTCCATAGGGCTGAACGTCTTGCACATGTCAGACATCGGAACATATCGGAGGTCAATCGCTCTGCTCCTATACCAAGAGCACCTACCAAGACCTCCGATCCAACCAACACCACCATTGTTCAACTCAATCGTGCGACGACGTCTTACGCTGATCCGAATACCTCGTCCTAAGCATGGTTTCCGTTTGCGCTCGCAGACGTACTGCTGTCGTCATTCCCAGCACCTTCTTTCGGTCGGTCCCAAGTCCTGATGTGGCCTGCAATTCAAACTGTCAGCGGTCCACTTCCTTATCTCTCATTTTTTGCCCATCGAGAACTCAACAAATGCGTGGGCGGATCCCTGGTTGGCACTAGACAAGACGGGTGTTCCTGCGCACGGCCACAGCGGCGCAGTAAAAGCCGCCCTTATCGCAGATCACATCGTTCTAAGGTACAACGTGCGCGTAACGGGTGGATATGTGGTGATTTAGACGAAAACTTTGCTGATGCCACTCACCGTTTTTACATGATGTTAGGATGCAGTCCTCTTCGAAGCCTAGCCAACACAGTGGGTGCTCATGGACGGATTTTGCCTACGGGTAATGGCGATTAGAATTTTGATGTTGAGGTTTCAGACAAGAGGTACTTACCAGCACTGGAGGTAGCATGGCCGTGCGTGCCCGAGGCTCCACGGGATGCACTACTTCTTCTTCATCCAACATGCTGCCCGATGTAAGGTTAGAATTCGATCTCAGTCTATTGACCGAGCTTCCTGTCTGGGTGCGCTGCATCTTGAGGTTCGACGACGCGATACTACCACGCTGTCGCACAGATGCCTAAGTCAACGTCAGCCGCGACTTCTTTCGCATTCAAGGATTTGGACTCACGGCGCGCGGCCTGTGCAGCATGCCGACACTGAAGTCCCACAGCAGCAATCGACAGTCCTCTCCTACACTGCCAATTCGGTAGTTGCGCTCGTCGCATCGCCATGGATCGAATTGCACTGCAGTCACCCATGAGTTGTGACCTTGGCAGCGTGCTACCAACATGCTGTCCTCTAGAGACCATATGGAGACGAGGTCATCCTGCCCTCCTGTGACGACATAGCGGCCGTCGGGCGACCAGCAGACGCACATCATGCCACCATAATAGCTCATGTAGTGGTGGAGCAGCTTCTCGCGAAGGAAGTCCATAATTCTGAAGGACCCATCCTCGGACACAACAGCCAGATGACGTCGGTCGGGCGAGAACTCGAAAGCATTGACCTTGGACCTTGAGACTTGCCAGTAGGACACAGGGTTTGTTCTTTGGTTCTTGGAGTTGACAGACTTCTTGATGGTCAAAAGAGCTTTCAGTTTCTTCTCCCCATCAGTCAGTCCGTTCTCACTAGGCGATGTGATTTCCTCAGGCACGAAGACAGCGTCCTCTTTTTCCTTGTCGTACACTACCAGGCTTCCATCCATATGCGCTGCTAGGAACAGGTTCTCGCTATTGGGTAACCACCGTATGTCCGAAACAGCTGTCGCATTGATGACACCGTTCTTGTTGATGCGCGCGTATTTTTGCGACATTGGTTCGTACCATATTATGTCGCCTGTTGAGAAACCCATGATGATGTCAAGATGATTTGGCCCTTTTGTGATCTGGTTTATATCGTGACACAGTGCATGCGCCTTGGTGAAGAGGATTTTGGTCATGTGCTCTTCCTTTGTAGGCGATGTCAAGTCCAGCCACTGGAATGCGCGATTGATGTTTGCGAAAGCGTACAGACCGTTGGGGTTGTGCTCTTGTAATCGCTTTGTCAGAGCCTCGTGCGGGATAACTCTGGATACGAAGGATGAATTGCTCTTAACAATATTGCTCTTCGGTTTCCGCCTCTTAGTAGGATCCTTGGAGTCCTTGCCATTGATCACTGTCAGCGCCGTGTTGCCCTCTCCGAATACTGGTGTGTTCAGGCCATCCAGCGGCGAGGATGCGATGCCATTAGCGCCATATGAACCAACATCGCTTGTTTGGCTGTTCGTCTCGTGCGGCGACTCTTGTATGCTCGGAGGAACTTGCGATCGGGTGCTCGTGCGCGTGCCAAATCTATGGAGCTGGGACTGCGAAGGTTGGCGGGGCGCAAGGGCAACCAGCGAAAGCTTAGTACCACATGTCGGGGGAGATATCGTGGTCGCAAGGGGGTTTGGGTTGTGAACGGGGGCCTCTGAAGGATGCGGCGGGGGCGTGGCTAGGTGGAGGTCGTCGCGCAGCACATAGGTACCTTTCATAGCGTTAGTGAAGACGGTGAGGACAGGGCTAGGGGCTCGTCAATTACCTTCTCCTACGACCAGCTGATATTCAGGCCCAGTGGGATGGGTGATACTGTTGTTGGTCTCGATAAGCTGGCCCGGCTGTGCGCCCGGGTAGCCTCCGACGGGATAGCGCGGTGGAGGAGGGAGGACGCTGTACACTGATCAGTCAAGCTTCACATGCGGGTGGTGGAGCATGATAGGGCTGCGATTGGTGGGCGACTGGCGGTCAGCACGTAGATAGGACAGGTACTCACAACATAGCTGCTGCAGTGTAATCGGTCGCGAACTAACGGCTCTGAATCGGTGAATCGGATTGATCCGGGCTGGTGGAGTCCCTGGAGTGGTGCCTGGCTAGAGACGACAGGGTAGTTTAAGACATTAGTACTGGCCGGGAGAGGCAGGATACGTCAATTTGAGCGCGCGGAGAAGGAAGCTTGTGGCCACGGCAGTAGCTGGGTGCTGGGATGGAAGCGCGGGCCATGGAACCAGCGGGAGGGAACTGGGGAAGTGGAAAGCGGAGACGGACGCCTTACGGCTCCGTGCACAGGTCAAGAATGTTCAAAGTGGCAGCTTTCATCCCGTTGTTCGTTGGTGGAGATGCTTCGACATGGGTTCGGTCCATCTGCAGGGCCGCCTTCCAACGGTCGAGCAGGCATCGCACCTTCCCAGCGACCAATCTTGCGGGGCCCGCTGGCGGGGAAGCTGCGATCGTCTCCCACGTGTGCCAAGCCTTTTGACAGCACTGGAGCCACTGGTGCATTGCTCTGACCACCGGAGCAATTGGATTGAGATGCACAACGTTCCACAATTCTAGACGACAGCCAGAGCCGAGTCGAGAGAGTCTCCCCTGCATCACCTCCCTCACAGCCACCAGCCTGCCCCACGATGCAATAACACGCGCCAGGGAAATGGCGACCGGTATGTGGAGTTCCCCTCCCGATTACACGTCTACGCCCACTGACATGCACAGTACGGATTTGTCTTTGCGGCGACGATGGTGTCGGCAAGAGCTCCATCATCACGTCTCTCGTCAAGGATGTCTTCGTCACAGCCAAGATCCAACCCGTCCTACCACAGGTCACCCTACCGCCCACGCTCGGAACGCCTGACAATGTCACCACCACCATCGTCGATACTTCCGCCCTCCCCCACGAACGACACACTCTCCGTACAGAACTCCGAAAATCCAACGTAATCCTCCTTGTATACTCGGACCACTACAGCTATGAGAGGGTTGCCTTGTTTTGGATGCCCTACTTCCGCTCGCTGGGCGTCAACGTGCCAGTGGTGCTATGCGCGAACAAATCCGATATCGCTTCAAACGGCACGACGTCGCAAGTAGTGTCGGAGGAGATGCTGCCAGTCATGAACGAGTTCAAGGAAATCGACTCCTGCATACGGACGAGCGCCAAGGACCACCACAATATCAACGAGGTCTTCTTCCTCTGCCAAAAGGCCGTCACCCACCCGATAGCACCCCTGTACGACTCCAAAGAGAACGTACTGAAGCCGGCGGCTATCTCTGCATTACAGCGCGTCTTCCATCTATGCGACACAGACAAGGACGGATATTGGAACGACCAGGAGATACACGATTTTCAAATCAAATGCTTCGAGAAGCCACTGGGCGACGATGACCTGGCAAACATAAAGAGGTCGATGGAGCGGTTTGCTCCTGGTCTGACCGGCGAATATGGCATGGACGAGAAAGGGTTCCTACTCTTGAACAAAATCTTTGCGGAGAAGGGTCGGCACGAAACCATCTGGATTATACTGAGGAAGTTTCATTACACTGATAGTCTCAGTCTCCAGGACACGTTCCTTCACCCCAAATTTGACGTTCCTCAATTCTCATCGGCCGAGTTGAGCCCCGCTGGCTACCGCTTCTTTGTGGACCTCTTTCTGAAGTTCGACATGGATAATGACGGAGGACTCAATGACAGAGAGCTTGCCAATCTGTTCGCACCCACCCCAGGCATGCCAACATCATGGGTAGACTCTGCATTCCCATCGTGTACAGTGCGCAATGAAGCAGGTTACATCACGCTACAAGGTTGGCTCGCGCAGTGGAGCATGACTACTTTTGAAGAACCCAAAACGACTCTAGCATACCTAGCATATCTCGGATTTGAAAGCGGCGAACGTGGGGGGACGACCAGCGCACTCAAAGTAACCAAAGCGAGGAAACGAAGGAAGAAGCCTGGACGAGTCGAACGTAACGTCTTCTTGTGTTACGTGCTTGGGTCGAGCGGGAGTGGAAAGAGCTCATTGCTGTCTGCTTTCCTTCAACGACCGTTCAGCCACACGTACCATCCCACCATAAAACCGCGCTCAGCTGTCAATAGCGTTGAACTCAAAGGTGGTAAACAATGCTATCTGATTCTAGAGGAGCTCGGCGAACTCGAACCCGCGATTCTAGAAAACCAGGCCAAGCTAGATGCGTGTGATTTGTTGTGCTACACATACGATTCGAGCGATCCCACTAGCTTTGCGCATATCGTCGAGTTACGGAAAAAGTATCCTCACCTCGACCAACTACCAGCAGTATATACAGCCCTAAAGGCAGACCGGGACAAGACGATGCAGCGGTGCGAGCAACAGCCCGACGAATACACCAGCGCTCTGAGGATGGCGCCGCCTCTACACGTCAGCACGACGTGGAACAGTATCTCGGAGCTGTTCGTCCACGTAAGTACTACTCCCGTAAGTTTACCTCGCTGAGCTAACGTCGTATAGCTAGCCGAAAGCGCTACCTATCCATCCACGGCTTTTCCCAAACAGGAAGAAGACGAATATGACTATCTCAACCTTTACTTAGCGCTCGGTGCCGTTACCTGTGCCGTAGGTTGCGCCATGTTCGTCTGGAGACGCAGCAGCGCGTCCTCCTGAGGCTAGGGGCCAAGGCATGAATTTGAATTGTTTGCTTCTTGTATATACCGTGGCAGCACACCACTTCTACCCCTAACTAGACTTGTCGCAATTCAAAAACACACCCTTCTCGGAAATGATGGCAATGCGACATTCACGATAATGGCGGAGGGCCAGCGCTTAAGCATGACATCACCTTGGCGTGCGGCGGCTGCGTTGTACAGCAGACAAGTCTCAGTGGCACGAGCGAATGAATAGACGCAGGGACAGTTACCCCTGGCGCTACGGCCTGGCGGGTTAGGCGGCAATATGTGGATAGATGATATCGGTGAATTAGCATAGGATCACAATGGTGGGTAAGTAGTGTCGGAGGCGATGTGTATAGTGACAGCTCGTTTGACAATGGTGTGGGCTAGGAGCTCTCTGCTACAAGTTACATAGGCTGGTAGCTTGACAATACCCCGGGGATCTGCGAGTAGTCTGAGACGGCTATTATTGTCTGTCGCCACACATGGTATCGCGGGTAGTTGCAACCTGGGCATTAGCTTGCCTGCCTGCCTGCTTGCTTGGTTGCTGCAAGAAGGCTGAGGAAGCTGGTGTAGGGATTGTTTTTGTCGTAGAACGTTGAAACGGTCCATTCTTCTTTTTTGACCAGACCCTGATGTACATGTTCCCAACTCAACAGGGCGGGTTAAAGTGGCATGGTGGTCCAAGCAGTTTGGATGAGGGCGGCTGCTGGGCTCAGAAACACATGTTCCAATGGTGATGCTCCCTTTTTGTGGCGGAGTGCTGGTCGCGCCCGACTCGTGCGTCCTCTCGGGCTGACTTGAGGCTAGTGAGGTTCCGCGTTAGTCCCTAGACACGGTGCTTGCAGTTGTCAAGCAGCACCTCTACGCATTCTCTCTTCCTGTTGTAATGGTCGCTTTCATTGTTAATCCTACGCTGCATGTCAAAGCCCTCTCGCCCGCCAGCCGCCCGCCCTTGGATGATCCGCGAGCCTCGGCGCCCTAAGCAAGCCGTGGCAATTGTGCCAACCCGCACCTCCGCATTCCTCGCAAATGGTGAGTTGGCCTCGCCCATGTCCTGAAGCCCGCGTGCAGGCGCATACTGGGTGGAAAGAGGGAGACTGCCAGGGAACCACCATTGTTTGGTTTCTCTGCGGCATTCTCCCGGCAAACGCCCGCGGCGCCAACCCAACCTCCAAGGAGCCCCCAAGCTGACCAAGTCTCGTACCCCACAGGCAACCGACCGAGCACGAGAGCTAGACCGGCTATATCAGATGCGAAACCCTCCCCGTCGGGGGCATGCGCCGCAGATATCCATCAGCGATGACAGCCACCACGTCACAGAGGCCATAGGCGACATGTACGGCGGAGATAGCGACACCGAGTCGAACCGACGCAGCCTGCGCCCCCTAAGCTTCATTCCCAGCCCCAACGGCGACTCGATCCAGTCCTTTGGCGCCTTCGAGGCCTTTGACCCCTTCCCCAGCGCTCCGCCCGCAAGATCCCCGCTGCGTCCCCAGCTGTCCTTCGAGAAGCCAGCAACGCCGACGAGCCCAAATGGCAGCACCAATATGCCCCAGAAGCGGGCTTCTATCGGCCGAAACCCCTCAAATGGCGGCGAGATATCCCCTCCGCTGTCTCGTTCAAACTCCAACACGGCGTCGCACCAGTTCCCGCTCAACAACCTCGACTACGAAAACAGTCCTGCGGGTCTTGCCCAGGAATTGAGCAACCTGCAGGCCATACGGAGGATGTCAATGGGCGTTAACAATGCCGATCCCGATCTACCTTCGTTCCAATCCGCCAACTCACCGCCCTCTCCTCCCGCCGTGTCTGAGGAGGATGAATCAAAACTCTTCTGGGTGCCCGCCCGCTTGCACCCCGAACTCGCCCCTATGGAATTCAAGACTTTTATCGAGGACAAGATTGACAGGACGAGACGACGTTCAGGAGACTCGGATTCACTATCGCCAGACGGTGCCATGGGACGTCAGGGCTCAGGTGGAGGTTTACGGCGCAAGAAGTCTATGCTTTCCAGGCAAATCGATACCGGTAGCGGCTACAAAGATGGTGCTGAGAGACTGGAACGGAAACGCTCCGGTACGCAATCTAGCGGCGGCCTGTCCAATCTTCAAGAGCTCGAGCACATACAGGAGGACCCGGTGGCCTTGATAAGACGTATGAGCATCGACCACAAGGCTATTGCTGGAGAAGGGGAGGAGGGTGTCGATGGGATGCCAATCGTACCAGGCAGTAAAATGCGTGGTTTGGGGACGCTAAAGAGGTCAACACATACTACTTATAGGCGAGGCAGTCTACGCAAAGGTGGTCCAGCCCTCTCACGTCGGCTTGTCTCTGGCCGACAGGCAGAAACTGATACAGAAGACTCGCCGTCTACCTCCCCTGTACATTCTACCGAAAGCATACCTGAAGTCCCGCCTCTCCCAGGACTTGCGCGCGTTCAGTCTGAACCCGTCAATGGCGCATTCGAGGGATCGTCCAACAACTTCTCGCGGCCACAAGCAAATCGAGCATCTCCCAGCTATGGTGGAGAAAGACCCGGCTCATCGGAGGAACATCCCAGGTCAGCCTCTACTGAGCCTATGACACAGGACCGAACTTCGCCTCAGCCTCGGCAGTTCCATTCGAGGATCGCCTCGAACGGTCGAACGACAGCACCTTTGCCCGGCTATACCCCTCCACCACAGCAAGTACCCCAAATCATCGAGACACCACCGCCACAGGAACAGAACAGGACACCTCAGTTTACACTACCGGAACGCCACTCTTCCCGCCAACCACCGCCTCAATCCCAGCAACAGCCTGCTGGTCCCCGTCATTATCCTCAGCCTCAGCAGCAGCCTCCGCAACAACAGCGCCAGCCTCAGCCTCAGGCAGGCCGCCCAAATCGCCATGCACAAGCCGCCCAGAATTCCCCTATCAAGCCCGCGCAATCTTTTGACGATTTAGTAGCCCAGCCTTCCGCGATGCCTGGCCAGAATAACAGAGTAGACTCATTGTCCATTATCCCAAATGCGCCGGAAGACAAGAAGTCCGACGGGAAATCCAAAGACAAGAAGGACGGTTCCGAAGGCGGCCCAAGGAAGACAAGTTGGGGTTGGTTTGGTGGTGATAAAGAAAAGGAAAAGGACAAAAAGGGCGGAAAAGACGCAGAGAAAGAAAAAGACAAAAAGGTTAAGAACAAGCTCAGCAAGCCTCAGGAAAAGGGTCACGATGATACAAGACTGGACCTCCTGCAAACGTCGATACAAGGTGGTGGTCGTGGTCGTGAAAGCGTTGTGTTGGATCGAGAGAGTATCAAGCTAGAAGAGGAGCGGAAGAAGGAGAGCGCCAGAAAGACGTCTAGCGAAGGCAAGAAAGAGAAGGAGCCCGGATTACTATCCTCCATCTTCGGAGGAGGAAAGAAGAAGGGCGAGAAGGAGTCGTCTCACAAGAAGAACGCCTCACGCGGATTATCGCCTGAGCCCCCGCCACGCATCTTGAAGCCCGATATCGATTATAACTGGACCAGATTCTCAATACTCGAAGAACGTGCGATCTACCGCATGGCTCACATCAAGCTCGCGAACCCTCGTCGTGAACTCTATTCTCAGGTCTTGTTGAGCAACTTCATGTACTCATACCTCGCCAAAGTCCAACAAATGCACCCGCAGATCTCCATTGGTAACTCCAAACAAGCGAAGCAGGCTCAACAGGCTCAACAGCAGCAGCAAGCCGCGCAGCAGAAGAAGGAGCAGCAACAGCAACAAGCCGCCCAACAAGCTCAACAACAGCAATCGCAGCCTGAGGAGTTTGCTCAGTATCAGCGATACCAGCAGGTAAATCCTCGTTGAAAGCAAGTTTATTCGGAAGAGATGCTAACAAAGATACCAGCAACAGCAGCAGCAGCAGCAACATGAGCAACAATCAGAGAAATCCAATGAATGGCCAAGCGTACATCAACAACAAGCGAACGGGGCGCTACAACATCAGCAACAAAATGGACAGCACCAGCAACAACAGCACCAACAGCATCAAAGAGGCGCGTCGCAGGGTAATCAATACAACCAGAATCCTCGCGATTCTCATCATTCTAATTATAGTGCAAATGGAGGCAGCGGTGGATATAGCGTTGCAAACACACAAAACTATCTGGGTCAGTCGGGCAAAGGAGGAGGGGGCTATGCTAATCATTCGGATTCTGATCAGAGTCAGAGGGCTGATGATGATATGTGGTAGAATTGGTAGTGTCATCGAAAGTTGCAGGGCGAGCATGGTTATCAAGCCCGGACATTTCCACTATCTGAACTACGCTTCTTCCCTTTCCATCCTCCCTGTTTAGCTCCTGGACCGCTTTTTCTCTTATCTTCAACTGTATATTTACTGCTGGTACGTTTTATTGTCTAATCTTGCTCCGGATTATTTGGGGCGTCTGGGGAATTTGGCTGAGAATAGATAGATGGCAGTGACGAGGTGGGATGGGACAACGTCTGACGGTCGTAAGATGCCAAGATGTAGATAGGGAATCACATCTGATGTAGTTTGTTCAAAACTGAAGCCAACACTACCACTGCACGGGACTGAGATATATGTGTATGTGTTGATCGGTTCATTATCCGATTCGAGCCAGAGGCTGGAGGGAGCTGGGAACGTCCACAGCGTTCCAGAGAATGATGTAATTCAGAAGGAAAGCCAAGGCGCGGACAACACAGTTTCGCAAGACGCGAGGCTTCGGCGTAGTTTGTGTTATATAGTAGATAAACAGTCATACCCATAGATCTTCCTAGACGTGGCGATAACTAAGAAGACACAGGCTAGGTTTTGACTTGGGGTTCGTGATAAGGTAGGTAAACATCCTTCAGTATCGCTCACAGCATTGATAGGACATTGATTGTAGATGCCACAACTTAATTTGTTTATGTCTCAAGTGTACGAACATCTTTGTAACTTGGAATCCGGACTTGGAAAGGAAAAAGGATCTAGACTAGCCACTCACCTGCGAAATTGCCGACATGTGGCTTCTGGAAAACTTGCTTTACCCCTAGCACCGACGAAAGATCATTCTGGTGACCTCCAGAATTGAACTTGAACTACAAAGAGCGTTGTTTGCACTTCGTGCAAACTCACAAGGGAGTGAAGCTGCGGTTGAGCATATTTAAGTAGTCAGCCAGCAGTTTGAGGATTATCCGTTCACTTCATCACTAAGCTCTCAGTAACACAGTGAAATAGTCAGGATATCAGTCTGAGAATGATGAGAATGAACGGCGTCCAGCCCTCGCAACGAAAAGGGGTACGTCAAAAGGATGGTAACAACAAGCGTGATAGTCAGGGCGATGCGACGATGGCACGAGGTATGAGCACGAGTAGGAATTCGCGCTCAAAATCCAGCTTGAACAACGACACATCTTCGAAAGCCGACAAAGAAATCCTAGAAGAGCACGATAACAACGGGGCAGATATAGAAAAGGGTGGTGCGGAAGAAAAGTCCGATGAGGAATCGCTTGAAGAATCTAAAGAAGAACGCGAGAGAGCGAACCAGATTCGAGAGCAAGAGAAAGACCAAGTCGACCGCAATATGAGCATCGATGAAGAAGAGATCGTACCTACAGATAGTGATGATGATTCTGCTGACTCCTCCGATGTATCCGAGCAAGGCCTGCTCGGTAAGATCTACGCAAACTGGAAGATCCGCAAGCTGAAGGAAATACTGCGGGTGAAGGGGACAAGCGAGAGTTGGCTCAAGGGTACCACAAACATCGACGACCATGAGTGGAACAAAGAGACCTTACGCGACTTTCGAGAATTGTCTCGTCTGACGAAGGACAAGCGTGATGTTGCAATAGCACATATTGCCAAGAGACTGCAACGGAGAAAGCATAAATCAGGCGGCGAAGGAACTGGTTCTAGCAGAGACGACAAGGAGCCCAGATTGCGCGCAGATTTAAAGGCGATTTGCGCGGACTTGGAGGAAAAGCGGAAAGCAGAAGATGATGATGAGGGTGATGAAGAGCTGGCAGGACCCAAGAAGAAGAAGCCAAAAAAGAAGGAGTCTTCATCTAAAGATGATGAGAATGATGCTGACAGCACTCTCGATGACTTCCCTGTTGGCACTGAGATACAGAACCAAGAGGATAGAGATATTGCACTCATACGCATCTGCAAGAATTTGGGAACCACTTCGCTCCTTGAATTTCTTCCAGCAGGGTTGCATCCAATTGGTGTAAAAAGCGATAGAGACCTAGATTGGAGAATTGTTGGCCAAATGCTTGACTACTCCAACGCTATTAGAACAGAAGCGCAACGCAACATTTTGAGACAAGAATTGGTAGGTAAAGTGGCAGAAAGAACAGGCCTCGATTCCGATATGGTTTGTGCGGATATTGCACTAGCTGGCGGGCGATTCTATCATGAAGCAAGACATGCAGAGCTACCGACTACGAACAGGACATTGCGAAGTCACGCCCGACCAAACCCACCACCGGCTGCAGGTCAATCAGCTGAAACAGCTCAGGAGCCTCCTACGACGCCCGCTTCTGGATCACATAGGTCTTCAAGTAGGCGATCCCAGTCCAGATTTCGGGTCCCAATTCTGAATCAAGGTGCCACTGATCAAACACAACCCGCCACAAAAGCCGACAGCAGAATTGGAAGTACATCTCATAAACAGCCAGCCCAAGGGACTCAACAACAGGGGAGCACCTCCTTCACTTCAAATCTTTCAGAGCAACCAAGGCACCAAACAGGACAGCAAGGCTTTTCACAAGCCCCAGTACAGATAGTAAATGGATTACTCCTGCAACCTCTTCCTACCATTAGCGATTCCGATGCAGCTCGGAAATTACAAGTTTCTACCGAGAGACAGCAGCTGACCGCATCACGTGCTGCAGGGAGGGTCTCTGAAGCGGAGGCCCGGTTGGCTCGACTAAGAGATGAACATGCCACTCTTAGAAGAGAAGCTTGCCGTCGTGACACTGAACGTCTCGAAACTATAGTCCAATTAGCTACTGAATTAGCTCCACGGGATGAGGGTCAGCGTGAGTCGGATCGAATGGGAGAGACCAGAGATGCAGGACAAGCTGGAAACAATCACCGCAGTCGAGGATGAGGAGGTGGTGCAGCTAGTGAAAGGGGTGATTGAGATAGGCGAGGTGGAAGAAGCAACAGTGAAACCCCCTAGACTATCGTATGGTATCTCTAAGATCGTACACTTAGAGCAGTAGAGCTTCACTACGTATCTAAATCGCGAACTTTACGTTGGCACTTACAAAACATGAGAGAAGGTCACCGAGATATGCGCTTCGTTCCTTTGATGTCGTACTAAGTATGACAACTCTTTGACCATAGTAAGGACCTTTGGTGCTGGCGACCATACTGACACTATGCAACTACGCTTCGTTTGAAACAATTCTTGCGTATAGTCATAAAATGAACAAATCTTTCCACATGCTACACGCGGTCCTCACCAGCCTCGCAAGAAGCGCGTTTCGTATTCTGATCAAAGCGTAATCCCTTTATCAGCGGCGCGGAAGCCCAGTCTTATCGCAATCTTCCATCTCTTGAGACAGCGGAGTATTCATGCCGCCGCCGAAGGAGGCACTCGAGTAGCAAGTACTAGAGCCGACGTTGGAAACGGAGGTGGTGGAGGAGGTGTTGTCGCCGGCGTACTTCTGCTGGAGGTCTCTAAGGATCTGTTGGCCCTGTAGAAGCGAGTCTCGCTGACTGACCAGTTCCTTGCGTTGGTTGTAGCGCTGGGGTGATTCAGCAAGGAGGCGAACGGCGTTGTTATAACCTGAATTGGGGTGTTAGTAAGATGCTTAGCAGGGCAGGGAGCGGGATCTTACCTTCGCTGCCGTCATTGAGACCCAGTCCGTTCTCAAGCTCATCACGGAGCTGCGTACGCAGTTGCTTGAAGAATTTGGACTCAATGCGCATGCAGACGGCATCGTGGAAACGGCGCGCTGCTAGCATGTAGTAGGTTGTGACTTGGGCCACAACACTGAGCTCTACCACATATGGCTCATGATTTAATACCTCCATTACTCTAGCGTCCTTCTTTAACTTCTCTTCCTCTTGCGCAGTGACTGGTCTACCTGTCTGCTGGTGCCTTTCACGCTTGTAGATGTTGAGGCGCGCCTTAAATCGATGTTGGCGGTAACAATCTAGAACAGTTTCTTTTTCATGTTCGAAGATCTCATCATGAAAGATATAAGGTCCCTCCCTCTCGTCATTAAGACTCTCCTCGGCCATTGTAGTGCGTTGTTGATTGAAGTTGAGGCCCACCATCTGGTCAACAATCTGCCAGGCGGTTCGGTAGAAAGTCGATCCCTCATATTTAGAGAAGTGCTTGTGGAACAATGCTTTAATCTGATTAGCAATCTGACCTTCAAGCATGTTGAAGAAGTTGTTGAGCGGCTTCTCCCAATGTTCAAGTGTCTTGAGCATCATATTGTCAACAACACGAGGCTCAATCTGTCCTGGTACCTTGCTTTGTGAGTTCTCTGCGAGGTGTTGTGTAACCTGGTCGAGAGGAAAGTTCTTCCTGAATTCGCTGAGGTCTAGGTCTGAGCCTGAAGCCGCTGATTTTGGTAGACCTCGACGGCTGGTCGTCTTGGCTGGTGAGGGACCTGGAGTCTCAAGCTTTCGCTTCTTCGTTGGCGTTTCGGGGTTACTGCTCATTAGTGTGCTGAAATGAGCATCTTCTTCATCCCCCCCTTCTTCTTCGTCATCATCAACAGCAATGGCCTTGCTGGCAGAGCTGCCAGGTTGAGCTCCAAGCACGTCCATGTAGACGGTCGCATCTCGATCTCCGCGCGTGGACATGGTAGGCTTCATGCTTGCCAGAGCGTCGAAGAATGACTTCTGTAGCGCCTTCCAATTGTTGCGCCATGCCTTACAAGGAAACTCAGCCTCTAGCTCTCTACGTACATTCTGGGAGAAATCGAGCACGACGTCCGAGATCATCCGAGAAGCATTGTGCGTTGGTGGGTCTGGAAATTGCTGAAGATCGGCGAGCACCTGTTCTAGCCGAGAATTGATCTCCTGGTCGATTATAGGAAGCTTTTTAGTAATTTGCTCCGCAAGCTTTCCAGAGAGAAAGCGCTGCAGGTTCAGGGTACCAAAGCGATGACCGTAGTCTACAAACTCTGTTGCCCAAGGCTCTCCTTCGGCAAAGAATTCATGCTCTCGGATCCGAGCCTGCTGATGGGTGAGACCTTGGTTGATTTCGTCCTGGTTCAGGTTTTTGACGACGAAGTATCCATGTCCCAGTGCGAAGCGCTGTTGGTCAAACACTGCCTTAAGCTTTTCGAAGCGGGACCCTGCCGGCAAGCGGTCCGGTTTGGTAAGTACACCTATAAATATTGGCGACGAACACAATAGAGGGCATTTTACTTACCAATACACCGATCCGTGGCGTTAAGTTTCCGCGCAATCCCACCAGCAGTCGAGTTCGCGATGTCGTTCTCCAGTGAGCAAGTCACTAGGATCAGGGCCTCCGGATCCTTGACATAATCTGTCACTAGATCATGAACGAAATCGACCAGAAAGCCTGTCTCCGGAGACTCTGCCTGACCAATTATGCCTGGCAAGTCATAAAAGCTTAGTGCAGGGAGATCCGGATGTGAGATTGCGATGACGACGACGTTTGGACTGAATTCACAGCTGCGATAGTCTCCGAGCGCGCCAACGGGTGCCTTGAGGAATTCTTTATAGTCCATCATGGGGTTAATAATCGCAGTCTGAGCGCGTGCGATAAGCTCTTCGAGTTGGCGGGGGTCTTCTGTGGATGCGAAGTGTGTGTCGCTAGGCTTAGGCATTTGCACCCATCCTGGGAAGCGTCCTTCATGTCCTCGACCCTTTTTGCTGTCGTAGCCAAAGCTACGGCGTAGACTGACTGTTGCGCTCCAACCGGCGCGATTGTTCTCGGAAGGCTCGAGCTTGATGAAAAGTGGACATCTGGTGCATGTATCGGTCGAGCGAGGGGTCTTGATGCCTGATATTGCTTCGATTACCGAAGATTTACCCGTGGATTGCTCACCTAGAAAGCTATGTTAGTTAGGTGAAGGTTAAAGCCATGCGACACAACTTACCCAAAACGATGCACTTGGGCAAAGGGATCTCTAACATCTGCAAGCCCAGTCCCTCTAGCCGACTGATGGTTGATATGGCATCTTTTACGTGGATACCAAGCGGGTCAATTTCACCCGGGGCGGGTGCATTGGGAGTTTGCGGTGTATCTGATCTTTTGTTAGTTATTTAGGTACAGTTTTTCAACACGAAGCTTACCGTCCTGGCCAACTAAATGCAGCGGTTCCAGGCCCTCACTCAGACGCGATTGGTCGTCGCGGTCAGACAAACGCTCTTGTTCTCGCGGAGGTATGTGAGTGTTTCCTTCCACGAGCGCGGCAGCAAGTGCATCATCCTCGCTGGACGAGAGCGGCTGCTTGACTACACCATTGCGCGTACGACCCCGAGTGGCGCCTGCCATGTTTTCGAGCTTGTTTTATTGGTTTTGACAGTATAGTTAGACTGGAGGATGGAGGTACTATCAAAGTTGATAGCGACATGCGCGCCAAGACTCTGTGTGAGCTAAGTAATTCGCGGTGACATAGATGCCTAAAGCGGGGTTGGAGAGAAAAACGCGGAAACGATTAGGTGAGCGTAGAAACTTGCGGACAAGACATAAGACAGGTGAACGCAGGTCAAGTACCCCGATTGGGACGGTGAACGCTGATTGCGTGACACATTCCAGCGCAGCGGTGAGGAAAATAGCATGAACGTAGAAAATAGTGGCGACTTGTGCACTGACAATATGATAAAGAAAATGGATCATGGAGAAATGGTGAGAGTAAGGTTGCTTAGACTTGTTGGACAGGCTGATGGACCTGTTGCACAAGGGAAAAGTAGAAAAGAGAGAGGCTCATCAGCCGCATCTTATACCGTGATTGCCAGCACTGGACACTCATAAATTGGCCATCCAATATTCAGAACAACCTGAGTCAGTCTTGAGGCGTCTTGTAGTTGGGATTGTTATTCCTTCCGGATATAACAGCCGTGTGTGATGTCCATCACTCTAACGGGTAAGTCATAGCTGCATCATTCGACATTTCTGCTGCAGATAGGTAGTCATATACAAGATAGCATACAGATGCAAGTCGACAAAGGCAGAGCGTTGCACGGTGATTGGGATGGGGAAGGATGAGGCATGCTAGGAGGTTTGATGGCAGACGATGGTTGCAGCGGCCCCGAAGATTCGCCGCTAGCGCCAAAGGAGCAAGGGTCCTCAAGAAATTCCATCGAAGCGCATCGTCACCGGTGGCTATCGTCCGACCACAAGCTCGCCCACACCCTCCCGTCGCCCTCGGAACCGCCCAAAACACGTCTCTCACCTTAATAATACATAATGGATCATTCGCGCGATCCTTGTCCCTGGGTCATTCTCAATGACTTTGGTGGTGCCTTTGCCATGGGCGTATGTCCCCTCAGGCGCAGTGTCTTCAACCCATTACTAACTGTGGGCTAGGCTGTTGGAGGAGCAGTGTGGCACGGTGTAAAAGGCGTAAGTATGGTCTTGTTGTCTTGAAGAAGTGCGCTTACAAGCCTGCAGTTCCGTAACTCACCCTACGGCGAGCGACGCATCGGTGCCATCACAGCCATCAAGGCCCGCGCCCCCGTTCTCGGCGGCAACTTCGGTGTTTGGGGAGGACTTTTCAACACATACGACTGCGCAGTCAAGGGAATACGGAAGAAGGAAGACCCATGGAATGCCATCATCGCAGGATTCTTCACCGGCGGATCGCTCGCAGTACGAGGAGGCTACAGGTCGATGCGAAACGGAGCGATATCTTGTGCTATCTTGCTGGCTGTTATTGAGGGCGTATCAATTGGCTTCAATCGCATGATGGCCGACAACACAAGGCTCGATGCCCCCCCACCACCACCGAGCGATGTCGGTGCAGGATCTGGCGGCGGCGGCATGGCTGTGGCCGCATAAAACACTTTCGATTCACGACTTATACCTGTTCGGAGCGAACCGCTATAACGCCAGGGATGGGCAGCAACATGTCTGGGCAAGCGGTGTTTTTGGGATGTTTGGCATATACCGCAGGCAGGTTTCGGCAGCGGGCGGCGTTCACACTCTCCTCAGCTTTGTGCTATATCTGTATCATACACGCGACACGACTTGTACAACATCTGGAGGCGTCTCTAGAAGAAAATATGAGTGTGCGGAATTCAGAAGATACGACACATCTCAATCTTCATCAGCTATTGCGTATTTACCCTATTGAATCCGAGCTTACCGCAATAGTTCAAACTCAGATCCAGACTAAAATAACTCAATGACATCATCAGGCCCACCCATCAGTAAACAAAATCTCGAGTTTCTCCAGGCTGGCGGCATTCTGCGGCTTTTGAGACATTTCCAATGCCTCGAGCGCTAGGCCATACGCGTGGAGAAGCCATTCAAGGTAGTCAGCTATAGCTGCAGATTAAGCCTAGCCCCTACTAGTCAGAGTGGCTGACGAGAACGCATTGACCGCCCTTCTACCTCGAATTACTGCAACTTGCCGTCCTTTCTGCTATTGTGACACAAGACCACGATGCTGCTTCTACGCGCTCTATCATCGCAAAACTCATCTCATTCATCTCGCATTTCCCGGGCCCGCTACTCGTTAATTCGATAACACCGAGCACATCTCCAAAGGCTTCCGCTTTTGAACGCAATGATGGCACCACGAAGAAGGAAGCAACTCTACGAGGACGTTCAAACCATCATGCTTAATTGGGACATTACATCTTTCGATAAATGTTTACCGAAGACTCTATGTCCCAACCACAACCAGGAGTGGAGGGAATGGAGTAATGAATTCATGGGACTTTTGAGTTCAATTGCATCAACACCCAACACTACCCATCCGGACTTTAAGAAAAGATTAAGGAAGACAATACAGATACGCAAAGAGAAGGATAGCTCTGCTGTTGGTAGCAATGAAGTGGATTTGAAAACCGTTTTGGAAGAATATAGAAGTGAGGCTGAGAAGACAAGCGCTGATACCGCGCACCCTGGACCGAGTTCACAAGAGAAGCCTGTCAACCGCACTACTCGCCAAGCAAGCATTCAGATTCCCAAAACACCAATGAATCAGGAAGATGAGGACGAGTATGAAGAAGAAGAAGGATCTTCCGAGCCCCTCGCCGGCGGAAAATACCAATATCTTAACGGCGTCAAACCCGTCAAGGTAGACTTGAATCCTGAAGCATCTGCTGCAAAGAAGCCCACGCGGCCAAAACCGGCAACGAGAGGTAAACGACGAAAAGCAGATGAGGAATCAGTGTCAGATCCTCTTGCAGCAGAACTCCCAAGTCAGATCCACCAAGATCCAGATCCCAGGGCACCAGATGATACTGGTTTTCTTTCGGACCTTGATGGTGATGGAATGGATTTGGGAGGAAGAAAAAGGAAGAAGCGGTTATCAAGACTCCAACAACAAAGAGTTAGAGAGCCGCATTGGCAGATGGAAATGGATAATACTGCTGCTGATGTCCCGGACCTAGATGATGGTCTTGACACTCCAACCTTTCGTAGAGATGTCAAAGTTCCTTCGAATGTTGGTACAGGAGATGTAGAGGATTCGTTTATGGGTAACAAGGAAGACGTGGCCATGAAGAACACAGAGGACATGCCTGTTTCGGGTGCGGAAGACTCACCTGTTCATACCGGACAGGATGTCATTATGAACGACGGCGAGGACGTGGAATTGGAACTGGAGAATTTACCTGAAATACCGGAGAATGCGACGGTCGCGGAGAGAAGGGAAATGGAAGAGTTGAGATTGAAGATGGAGCAACGGGTGTGGAGAATCAAGGTACTGAGGATCAAAGAAAGGGAGCGTGGTGGTAGCGAGATGACTGAGCAAGATGGAAGTAGTGTGAATGCGGAGAATGATGCGGCGAGCAACGGTAGAGTGTTAAGGAAACGAAGGGGGAAGTAGAAGTTGAACACCTCGATGACTTCTGTGAGCGAACTCACGTTGCATATGAGCGTGGCACACAGCTTCCGAGCAACGTCGACACTATCTGCCAGTAAGACTATTATTCAAGGTGAAAGAAGCTTTGAGCTCGCCGATGGGTTGTCTAAAAAGCACAATGACCAGGTCTATAGTGGGACGAGGGAACGGCTCAACCGAACGATCTAACGACTGTATTCGACATCTACATCTACTGACAAGTCCCATCGTGATCTGACAAGTTGATCACCATATATCTCATGATCATGTAAATGGCATGTTCAAGTCATCTCCCCTTACAACATCGCCATCTCTCTCTTCAAGATGGGGTCAACCCACTTCTTCCACCCCTCTTGTACCCCGCTGTTCTGCCACGCCTTCTGATTGATAGGCAATTGGTCGACCCAGCGCATGATATTCTCGTACACATTGCCGTCATACATACCCAATGCGCTGCAAAGACTTGCATCAGAGAAGTCCCAAGCATCCGTCAATGCGATTGCCTCAGGCAGAAGCTGATCGAGCAAGCCGTTGACCAGTGAGCGGATGAGATCGAGTTGCATCGTTGTGAGGTATGGGGAATCCGAATGGGCTGTCTCGACGAAAGACAGGGCATCGACTGTTCGTGGGTTTATGATGGTGGAGAGGGCGAAGAGCGAGCGCGTTCGGTTCAGTACAGTGCGAAGGTTGGACGACGTGGTATCAGGAAGACTTGAGATAGTGTCAATGAAGGATCTAAGAATGAAGTACTCAATGTGAGCTCGTGAGGCGGAAATCAGCAGCATCAGATGCTCATTCCATGCATCCGCAGGCAGCTTGCTGGAAGCTCGAATAGCTGAATGCGCTTTGACAACTAGACGATGTGCGCGGTCGCGGTAGATCGTAAGCTGCACTTCCGGATCGAGAAACTGCGTGCCAAACGCGCTGCATGCAATGTTGGAATCTTCAACATCAGCCAGGTATTGCACCTGCGGCTCGATTGGCTCGCCATCCTGTAGACGGTCGAGTTGCTTCAGCAGGTGTCGTCCAACCTGCTGCCAGAGGACATAATTCTCGCCCTCAAACGTCGCACCGCCTGTGAGAGCACCGACGATATCCGGAAGGCCGGATATAGACATATATCCATGGCCACCACATAGTTTGCGCGCCTCTTCAGCACCGTCAGCGGCCTCTGATGTAACGTATGCCTTCATGCCCGCAGTTAATGCGTGAACAGATGGCAAGAGAGAATGGTCGTTCTTGCTCTGCATCTCACGGAGTTCGTTGTACTGGTCATCGCAGACCCGCGAACCGAAGAACATTGCATACGTCTTGGCTATCATGCTCACAAGACGGAAATGTTGGTGCTTGTACTGGAAAATGCTCGCCTCGGTGTTCAGCGCATCGGCAGGACCAAGGCCCTGTTGTCGCACAACAGAATATCGTGTCGCAATCGTCAATGCTTGCGCTAGTTGTACGGTAAAGATACCAGGCATCCTGCTGCGAACAAGCAGCATGACCGAGTATGAGAGCTTGGCGCGAAGGGGGTCTTTGGTAAATGTGCCGTCGCGTGCGAGCTGACTGTGCGCCATGAGCATCTGCGATCGAGGTATGCGAACTTGGTCGAAAGAGGCGAAGCCATTGTCTGCTTCGTTGTAGCTGGTATATTGTTAGATTCGCAGTGCTTGTTATCTCATACGATCAGGTTACTTACCCAAGCTTCAAGCCAACGTCGCCCATTTTGATACCAGGCATTGGCTTGCCATCCTTCAGCGATCGAAGTTGCACAAGGAAGATATGCGGGCCCTGATCTTGACCACCGGCAATAAGTCTAGCCATGACTGCGCCGTGTGTGGTCGAGAAGCCCAATCCAGCAGGCCAAAACTTCGTTGATGAAATTGTTGGTGAATGAACAACAAACTCATCGCTATCAGGGTCGAAGGTCGCAGTGGTTTCGATGCCTCGCACGAAAGAACCATGGCCAAGTTCAGTTTGTGCATATGTACCGAGTATCTTGCCGGATCGAGCCAGCGGAAGCCACTGTGCCTTTTGTTCTTCTGTACCATTGTGTTCCATTGCAGGCTCAAACAGAACAGCTTTGTGACCGAAGGGACTACCAGCCGTTAGTCCGACAACCTGGTACTATTCCTGGTTTGACCTACCTTGCGTTTACGAGGTTGTATCGAGGAGTGACCCATACGAAGTATTCGTGGTTATGCTCGAGCATATTATCAAGACATGCTTTTCCCATCTCGAGACCTTGCTCAAACAGATCCTCGCGTGAGGTTTCTGAGTAGCATCGCGGAAGTTTCGTACTATCGTAGGTGCCGAGTGCTTTCTCAACACGCTCGAAAGCAGCTCGTCGCTCCTTAACAACACGTTCGCTGGCAAGAGGATAAGTAAAGGGATAGCAAAGACCTTGTGCATCGAACATACTTTCCCCAAAGTAGACATGTCAGCTCGAACATATCAATGGAGCCGGACGCTCTTGCTTTCTGCATCAGCATAGTCTGCGTGTTCTCCGCCATGTCGACTGTTATCGTTTAGGAAGAATCTGTAAAATAAGAAGAGAGTGATGTGGTTGTTCTATGTGAGAGAGAGCAAACCCTGAGCTATATAGTCGGAGGGTTGACGGTATTGAATGATCGTGAAAGGAACATGTGATAGATATTCAAACCAACAGAATCTGGACCTTCAAAGGCAGATAGACGGGAGTCGATTGCTGAACTGGCCAAAGCAACACCTTCTATGATCAGACGTACACGACGGGCTTTCCATATCCATGATGATCTGCTTTCCATGAATCTGCCGCGGATCCTTCGCTAACCATCCGCCATCGAGTCAGATGCCGTCAAAGCGCTGGTTCGTTGTTTGGCGAATGTGAATCACAACTGTGCCTCCGTGACACAGGCATCCTGGGCAGAAATGGCTATTGGATGCATGTCCAGGATGCTATCTCCAGAATATGTATGCATGGTCCTTATGTTCCTTCGATGCGACATACTGACTTCCGTTTAGCGTACAGATGATACCGGTCGTTTAGTAGATCAGGGGATCCTTTGAACTCCTGTTTGACAGCTCATACCTATTCGACCCAGGATGGACAAACCCTATAAGTTTGAGCGTACAGATTGAGTTCTGGTGCCTCAAAATTGCAGCTAAACATGTGAGTGATACCATGGCTGTCCTAACAGATGTGTTCAGGTTCACTATCCGTCTAGGCAATGCCGCCAAAATTCGGGATTGAAGGACATGGGCCGTGTGTATAAGGGCGGCCCTTGGTGGCGTTGCCGGGTGGAAAACGTCTTCTTATCCGAGTGCTTTGTCGAATCACCTGTCTCTGGTGCTTGGACTAGACATTTCCTACGACACTTTCTTGAGAGTTAACGCGATATGCGACGCTATTCGACAAGCCTGCTTTTTGAGGACGAAGGTGTGACAATCAATGGTCCTCTCGTTATGCGGCCCTATGCCATATTCTGACGAAGTCGTGCAGCGAAGATTGAGATAGCATGTTTGGCCCATCTCTTATTCAATTGTAGAAAGAAGGTGGCGTATTGTCTAGAGCTGAGGCGGCATCAACTCGTTGTCACATATGGATGCGCTCCACTTTAACGTCTACGTTACACGCACCATTATGCGAGCTGGAAGATCTCGATACTAGGCGCTATGAGATCGAAACGCGGTATCGTGAACTTATAGTATGCCATTTCTGCTGCAGAATTATGGTGAACAATGGACGTTCAGTGCCACAACCACAGTCGTGGTGTGCTGCGACGCGGAGGACCTCGGGGGGTTGGAAGCGCCAGGTCATACGCGGTTAGCTTGCCATGCAACTCGCCGAGGCGACACGTGCGGAAACAACTGCCGCGTATTTTCACCAAGCTGGCCCCTCGCACGCTCTGCAACACCAACGGTCATCGCGTTGCTTCCCGGTTTTGTCTGTTACATGCCTCACCCCTGTTTCGTTGGAAATTTCCCTCAAAACCTCCGAAGATCATCAACGACCCGTGTAAGCCAAGGCTGTTGAGACCTCTTGCATACGGCCTGCATGTAATCAGTTACTCATCACGAACAACAGCTGGTTGAGGCCACGAGCGCTGCGACTTGATGGGTGCCATTGAGTGCCAACAAGCAGTCTGCTCAAGCTTTTTTGGCATTCTTAATCATCAGTTTCATGCGGGACGTGTCGTATTCATGACTTTCTCCGGCTTTTGCCCTTTCTCGGATTTCGGACTTAACGACTATTGGTTCTAGACGCGTTGTGCCGTCCAGGGTTCTCTGACAGCTCTTTGATATCTATCATGATGACGTAGTAGTGTATCTCTGCTTGTCGCTTCTGCGGAGCTTGCGGCATTTCCATTCGTGGATCTGGGTAAATCACATGCGTACAGGGGCTGCCTGCAGCACGCATCGTGGTAGGGTAGTATAGCCCATGATTAAGAATCAGTCACCTTGAGGTCATGACATGTCGCACAGGTACTGGCGCTATCAACCCACAGTGCGGGACTTACCTTCATTTGTAAAGGGTCGTATCCCAAACTTCATCCTAAATCGAAATCCTCCAACTCCATACCCAAATCATGGCGCCCGCCGAACCAAACGCAAAGCCTTTTGAGCTTTTGACCACTGAAGAGCCGGATTTCCCGGAAGAGCGAGAAGGATGGAAAGGATATATCGAGTGGGAGCGATACCCAGAAAAGAAGAAGAAGGCGGCAGAAATTTTAGCGAAATATGACTTTCCTGTACCTCCCGAGTTCCAGATGAAGCCGTTACCCGACACCAATCCAGTCTTAGAGGGCGTGCGATGGAAACACTACCACTACGCTTTGGGTAAAACGACCAAGGATCTTCCAGCCATTTCATGGGAGTACGTCAAGAAAGAGAAGAGCGATGACATGATTCATGTCCTGCAATTCCCTTACAACGGAGAGCCGCAACGAAAGCGCCTGGTCGAGAATGAGATTACTTCCAACAAAGACCACTTTATTCGGAACCATGGAGGTGTTCCTGAGATTGATCCAGAGAAGTACTTCTTTGAGGTCGAAGGTCTCGTCAACACGCCAAAGAAGATCACCTTGAAAGAGCTTCAAGATGAGAGCAAGTTCCCGCGTATGGAGACTTGCGTTACTCTGCAGTGCAGTGGTACCCGGCGTATCGAACAAATTCACGACTACCCAGGAGACGGAGATGAACTCATCAACGCGCCTTGGGGAGAAGGCGCCATCGGAACTGCCCGTTACGTAGGCGTCAGTCTCAAGAAGGTTCTCAAGTACTGTGGGCTGAAGCCGGAAGGAAAGCACGTGGAGTTCTTTGGCGCCGATACCTACTTCAAGAAGGGCCAGGTGTACAACTACGCTGTTTCGGTGCCGACTCGCAAGGTGAAGGTCAACGAAGTTATGCTCGCTTGGGAGATGAACGGGGAGCCACTGCCGGCCATCCATGGTTTCCCACTCCGCGTTGTCGTGATGGGCTACATCGGTGCCAGGAGCTGCAAATGGCTAACCCGCATCAATGTCATCGATGCACCTTCCATGGCTCCTGTGCAGATGAAGGAGTACCTATACTACACCCCACAGAACGGCAAGCAGAACGTCACGTACAGTAACGGTTTCAGCATCCAAACTATGCCTGTTGCTAGTGCAATCATGACGCCTGTCGACAAGGACGTTATTGTTCATGATGGAAAGATCCGTATGACCGGTTGGGCATACAGCGGCAGTGGTTGGCCCGAACGAGTCGAAGTCAGTAATGACGGAGGCGGCGTGTGGTATGAAGTACCATACGAGAACTTGAGCAAGAAGTACTACCACGCCTGGCGCACATGGTGGATCGACATCCCCGTCGATGCGGAAGGATGGCTGTAAGTCTCGCACGCCTAAATGTTTGCTGAATAACACTGATAATGATTAGCGAGTTCTGCGTTCGTTGCTGGGATGATGCTTTGAACACACAACCAACCTTTGTGCGGAGCGCATGGAACTGGGATCTTCACGTAACATCGTCTTGCCAGTAAGTGTTTCCTATCTGGGTGCTTTTGAATGTTTTCAAGCATATGACGCTAACAACTCTGGCAGCCGTGTAAAGCTTTACAGTGTCAACACGACCAAGCCGGCTACTCAGAAACGTCTCAAGCAACTTGAAGATCACGGAGCTTCACTATTGCCCATCACGAGACCTTTACCATTTGACCTCCAGTCGGATGAAGAATACCTGGAGGAGATGAAGAAGATGGGAGGTCGTGATCCGGAAGAGTAAGCTGATGTAAGACGGTTGCTTGTCTTTGGCCGCCAAGCGGGATGGGTATCGAGCTAGACTTGATATGCGAACTGGACTACAATATATAGTATGGCTAACTAACTAGCCAAGTAAGACATATTAATATAATGAAGATGTTCCTCGGTCTTCGAAAGACAACCATGATGAGTGGGGGACCAATCAAGTGGATGCAGGTTAAAAAGCAGCATTTCGCCACTCCATACCAACAGTCTATGTGGTCCTTGTTGGTCTCAGTCTGCATGCAGTCAGTGAACGGATGAGGCCTAATTCCGCGGATCGAGTCTAGTTAGTGATGGAATGCGGCGCGGTTGAGACATGGCCCCACCACGGCCACGAGCGAGAACACCATCTTGACAGCAACTCTCACGCCGTTCTGGATTTATGACAATCTGCACTGCGATTATTGTATGTATGGTAAGCTTACAAGGCGGTTTCTTATAATGAAGATAACAGAGTTGATGGATTCGCAACCATATCCTAGCAATACCAATGACACTGTCGAATGTGCCTCGCCACATCAATACATGTTGCATGAGAAGCGCTGCTCCTGCATTGCAGTGCAGTAGACCTGCAGAAGTCATCGGAGCTCGCGAAGAAAAGGCAGGAGCGGGCGGATGGTTCAAATCTCAGTGGATTATGTGGAGTATGAACTGAACTGTGTCTGCCCATCTCAACCGTGTGGCAGCCGCAAGCGCCTGGGGCCGTGGATCTTGCTTCCCACGTGGTCGCTATTGGATAGATTCGAAGGATCTATAGCATATTGATTCTTCCGCTGGTAGCAAACTAGGTCGAAGGTTTGATGGAGCTTAGAGTACCCAGGTGAGTCGTGACTGCTCGAGCCGCTATAAGTATCGTGTAGGTATCGCGATAGATCATGGGGCAACTTCAACACTTTCACCTTCTGTTTGTTATAACTTCTCTTCCTCTTATACACGATGCAGTTGTTAACTCGTGTCTTCGTCCTTGCTGCTGCTGTAGTCCCATTCGTTGCTCAGGCAGCACCACTTGCGGCTAGCTCTCCCGAAGATGTAACCGCAGAACGATACATCGTTCAACTCATACCAGGCGTCGATATCGAATCGGTCGCTGCTCACCATGAGAAGGTTCGCAGTATCAGGCGCAGAGATGATGTCAACCTGACCGCAAGCATCGACCAAGAGTACGACTTCGGAGATTTCAAAGGTTACACAGGATCGTTTGACCCTGCTGTCATCGCTGAGTTGGAGGCTTTACCTGAAGTTCTCATCGTGGAGAGGGACTCCATGATGTTCTCATCTGCTCTCGTAACACGTAAGTATTTTATGTACTCTGACAGGCATAAGAATGCCTCATTCCTGAGGGAGCAGTGCTAACAATTCCTAGAGAACAGCGCATCATGGGGTCTTGGACGAATCTCATCCAGGAGTAAAGGAGCCACCAGCTACATCTATGACTCAACCGCTGGTGCAGGTACCTACTCATACGTGGTTGATAGCGGGATTCGTACAACCCATGCCGAATTCGAAGGCCGTGCCTCCTGGGGGTACAACGCCATCGACACCGTCAATGCTGACGCCTTCGGTCATGGCACCTTCGTGGCCGGCGTGATCGGTGCGAAGACCTACGGTGTTGCTAAAAAGACAAATCTCATTGCGGTTAAGGTCTTTTCTGGTGATGGGGGCGCACCCACATCCACCGTACTGAGTGGTTTGAACTGGGCAATGAACGATATCATCACCAAAGGCCGACAGACTTCTGCTGTGATCAACATGTCGATCGGTGGGGGAGCAGATTCAATATTCGACAACGTCGCAACTTCACTAGCTAACCAAGGCATATTGCTTGTCGTCTCTGCGGGCAACGAAAACCAGTTGGCGGAGAACTTTTCGCCATGCCGCTCATCTGGGGCTCTCTGCGTCGGAAGCATCGAGTCGAATGATTCCCGTTCATCTTGGTCGAACTACGGGTCTGCCATAGACATCTGGGCTCCTGGCGGCGACATTCTGTCTACATGGTACACCTCAGATACAGCCACATCAACACAGAGTGGTACCTCAGCCTCTGCGCCATTTGTGGCTGGATTAGCGTCTTATATCCGTGGTCTTGAAGGATTGTCCATTGGTCCAGCGGCCAGAGCGAGAATTCTGGCGTTAGCTACATATATACCTCCATTGTGCAAATTTGATCCAGCGAGTGGACAGTACATCTGTCCCGACACAACAAAGGAACCCAACCTAGTGGCATACAATGGAAATGGACGCTAAAAATTCAACAGTAGGGTTTGTTGCGCAGACAGATAAGGGTGGGTTTGCAATGTGTAGCGACATAGTTTCACTTCAAATGAAGTTAGCGTTCTATGACAGCATCCACGATACTCGCAATCAGAACCAGAGTGTTATGTGAAACGTATGAAATACATCAGCGTTATAAATAGGAAGGTGCAACTGTTCTCATAGACTTTGCTTGAAGATTGGTCTTCCCTTGATGGGGAAATAATGGGTCGAAGCGAACGTATTAGCCCGCCTTGGCAATCAAGTGGGGGCTGGCAGGGATTAGCGCCTCCGATGACGTGCACCGGCCTCTCTTTCCCTTCCACCCGCCTGCAGGTGTCATAGTTTCTTTCCGCATCCCCTAGTCCACGTCAATGCATTTACTTCTCATTCCTGGGTACGCTATGGCTATTCCGCTTCCGACATCAGCTTCCTAGACTGACATGCCTCGATCAACCTGCTTTCTAGTAGCACACGCCATCAAGGTTAACAATCATCGAGCATGCAACAATCAACGAGTTCGACATCTCAGAGCCATATCAGTATGTTGAAGCACTGCCTAGGTGAGAGAGCAATGAAGATTTAGGTAAGCTAGTGATGCAGTGGACCATTAAGATGTTCTCAGTATAGCAGATTCGGCGGCTACGTCGCGTACGCACCGTACTTGCTCACGCAATTCTCTTCGACAAAGCTTCTCCAAAGACGCAGCAGCAACTGCGACCTGAGTATTGATTCGGTAGTCGTGACACAACAATGTGAGCCTACGTTCAAGCTCATGTTCACAATGAGCATCTCACCACTATTTCCATCGCTACTGCACCCTAAAGTCGTACGTTATGGCTATGATCATTGATGCAACTGCAAAATATGGAATACGAGGAGCCATCAAATCTCTGCTATCGCCACAGAGCACGTCGAGCAATTGCAACGAAAGATCTACTCCGCAATACGTATGCGCACGCAAGAGATACGAAAGCGGAAGAAAGGGACGAATATGTGTTTATCAGGTCGGCGATGAACGTACAGACAGTGGCGGACGCAAAGTCAGGCTATACACCAATGTAGAAGGTGCCAATCTCGACAAAGACGAGCGACAAAGTTTCATCGGCATTGAGCATACTGGTAACTACAAAATGAGCAGCAGCACGAGGCACAAAAAGGGCCGAACCCCGCCAACGCCAGATAGAGGGACAAAAAGCAAAGTAGACTTACAGAGGCTAGATTTCAAACCTTGCGATCTAAGCGACGACGGCTCTGACAGGCGTTCTAAGAGCGACGGCACGGCTCCGTCTCAAGCTAAGGGATTAAGCTCAAGCTCGAACAAAGAGTCCACCGTACGTCGACCTGTTGACAAACGGAGGCGTTCACGTCGGAAGCCACAAAATGATCCGCATGGAGGAGTGGGCGTGGTGGATCGTTGTCGGTCTCCAAATCAGACCCTTAGACGGCATAAGGCTAGTTGATTCGGGGATCGATTATTACGAGAAAGGCCCGTAGATAATAAATTATGAGCCTATTGCTCAGGCGCGCTTCCGATCCCACAACATCAACTGGATCGACTGAGCCTTGAAGCAGCACCAACAGAACCTCCAAGAAGAACTCCTAAAACCACTATCGGCAGTACCATCAAACTCGTCAATGACTTGAGAAGTGACACATCAGGGACCACCAAACATCACCAAGTCAGTGGGAAGCAGACTGGTTCTGTCGTCTCAGAAGCGCCTGGGAGCCCGTTCAGGCAACCAGGGTTGACTCCACAGGAGTCATCGGACCTGATCTTCGGCACAAGCTTCGAGATGGCATCGCGAAGGAAGCTACGAGCGGGTAGCATGAACGATCGCATTGCGCCAGACATGCATGAGTTCGCATCACACCTTATACGCGATCATCCGCTAGGCGAGGCCGAACAGAAGAAGGAAGCACGTAGCTCATCTCACAAGTCAAACACTTTGAATCTCAAAAATCTCCCATCCGGCCTCAGCGGAGCGCAGAAGCCGCAATCTGTTGCAAAGATTGCCTTGGAACAGGTTTCTATTGATATGCTTGGAGTAGTCCATGCTCAGACCAGTGCGCCATCCTATCGCTCCATACCAACGGTCACACCTGGTACCCCTCCTTACATACCAGACAAGGGCGAATTGGATCAGAAGTAGGGTGTCAGCATTCACATGCTACGTGTATGCTGGTCAAGCAGCGTATGGCTCAAACAGGAAGCTTGTATGGAGAATAGAATTTGGGGTATTACTCTAACGCCTTATACCAATGGCAAAATGATGGCCAGTCCTGACTAGTCCAGGTTCTCAACCCTAGGCCGTGATACCAGTTGTTCGTCATGGTGTTTTCTCAAGCTCTCCATCCAATCGTCCGTCTAGTGGGTCAATTCCGCTATGCTGACTTGTATCGTCGTCTAGATCCTGATATTCCTGTATTGCATTAGCTTGACATTGGTGCTGACGAGGTTCACGACTCCTGTATGACCAGGGTTACAATGATTCTTGCCCCCTTGACGGCAGGATATTCCGCGTCCCCGATGTCAGAATATATATTACTTACCAAGAATTGTCCCATTTGCCATGACTACAGTCGGTTAGCTGATTGATTCTCCTAGGCCTAGAAGCTTCCAACATACCAAGCGTCCGCCCTCAACGTAGTACCTCCATCCCTCTGAGGACCCTAGGTATACCAAAATCTCCCATGGCAGCTCCTCAGTGTTAAACTCCCAGAACGTCATGTACTGATATCTCGATGCTTTGTCTACTTGTTTGTGTTTCTGGTCTTGGATTCTGGATACGTGCTCGAGCTTGAAGATGCGTGTGCGGAGTAGTTCGGGATTCTTGAGCATGCCAGGCGCAAATTCATCTTTAAACCATGCTAAGAATTCGTCATGAATTTCCGAGTCGGGTTGCCATAGGACTATCATCCACATTTGGATATCGCGGGAGTCTGGTTCAGGGCGTAAGTCACCATAGTATATCCTTGTGTCATGGTCTTGTGGGACACGTACCGCCCCGCCATTCTTCCCCATACCAATTGGCATACTCATTGTAAACCCGCGTCTCTATTATCGCCTCTTTCGGAAGTCGGTCCAAGGCTGGGCATAGTTGCGCATCCAACTCTTGCGCGCTTTGGTGTTTGGGTAGATCATAGATAGTCATGAGGCTGCCTTCGATTGCAGCTACCTCTGCGAATGTATTATCTTCCACCTGCTCTGCAGTGCGGGCCGTAGAGTTGATCTTTGCAAGGGCAGCGGGTACATGCGTACCCTCGTACCACTGATTCGCGCCTGCGGCATCTTCGCCTAAGTCCGCCCAGGCACAAGCGATCCTTGACATGGTTTCTCTTTACGATTTGTTGTTAATTCGTTCCCGCGGAGGTGGCCAGACGAGACGGGCGCAGATGGGTAATCAAAATCGAGTAAACAAGGCACGAGGTAAGGTAATGCAGCGGGCAGCGCAGCAAAGAGGAGCACGCCCAGACTCCGCCCCCAAAGTTTTGTCTTGGGCCCCTAATCCCAGTGCTCTCAAGCAAGGAACTACTTCGTAGGGGCATGTTGATACCCTGTCTGCTGTAGGTGTTTCCCCAAGTGGCATGGGGTCTAGCGGCCCGTCTAGGCCTGACTTCGGACCAAAAATAACGCCGTAGTACTGGTGAGGAATTTGGCATTGCCAAAAGTTAATTTCACAGCTATGGGAGCACAGTCAGTCCAAAACTATGTAGTTTCCGAGCAGATCACATTGAAATTGGTAAAGAATGGGACCGTGAGATCATAATGCGCTGTTATCCGTTGAAACACAAAAGTAGCTCGAGTCATTGGTTCGACCAGAGTCGGAGTGCGGCCCGGATATGGGGATCGTGCGCGGGCAAACCGATGCGCAATCACATGTCCGAAACAGGAAGTTGAGCAAAGAGAATCAGGTAACGTGGCCTGCTGATCAGCATGCATCGGTTCGCTGATAGCAGAGGCATCCCTCAATTTGATATACAAAGGATCGCTCCAACAACAGGGACGCCAACCAGAAAGCCCTATAAGACATGATCGCCCCGCCTCGACAAGCCACCAAAGTTTCTCGCGTATAATACCGCCTAGCGCGTCGCATCGTAAATCCAGCAAGTTGGGAAAGGTGAGATCGTGAACATTTTCTTCTTCTAACCAGCCTTGTCACTTCTTCCAGATTCACTATGTCTTGTGCTCATCTTGTCATCACTTCTTTCATAACAAAATGCCATTTCCGATGTCAATGTGCATCTTCTTCTCATGGATGTCCCTTTTGTCCCTCCTTGAGAAGCCACGAATAGCCCGCTCGCATCCGAGAGCGCGGCATTTGAATTGGCGGTCCTCCAGATGAGATCCTCGATAGTGGCGGCGAAGATCTGGCATACGTGAATACGTTTTGTTGCAATCACTGTATGTGCATACGTAGACAGTCTTAGCCTCGGTACGAAAGGAGATGTCAGCGATGGCATCGGCTGTCAACGAGCTCTTCGGTTCATTCGATCGGATGAGAGTCGGGCTGCATACTTCGTATGTCGGTCGCGAAGGCGCATTCTCCCGGGTTTCAAAGCAGTCGTCTGGAAGCGAATGAGCCGTGGCGTACACAGACGCAATCGGTCGTTGGAAAGAAGTTGTAGACTCCGACAAGGCCTGTCCGTTAGCACACGCAACGGATTCAGTGGACATTCGAGTCGGTACTGAATCAAGCTGAGGAGACCCTAATTCTGCAACGGCCCCGCCTAGCCGTACTGCAGAGTACCCGAGTACGTCTTCGCCATGAGCAACAGTATAATGCCATGGGAGATATGATCTGTATAGTCTAGGTGGGGGCACAATCGTGTCTTGGGCGTATGGGCAAAAGAGGGGAAACATGCTAGGTGCAACACAAGTTCGCAACTGAGTAAAGACAGAAAGAGAGCGCGTAGCGGAGGTGCCTCCGCCACGCTGAGGAGACCAAACAGTGCGCCGCTTTCGCAGGCTAGACGCATAATGTCGATGAACGTACTACAGTGTGCGGAGTGTTACATGATAGACCCGCAGGCAAGGCAACATACGAAAGACGAAGGAAAGTAACAAATGAGATCCAGGGCGGAAGGAGCCATAGAGACAGGCCCCCATCCAAATGAGTTGGTCTGTAATGCATGAGAATCGCACTTCACAATAACATACGACTTAGGACTGCTTTCTGAGAGGCTCCAACCATGGGTGAAAGACCCTATCGTGGCTTTGGCCTGTTCTGGTATCGTTCCATATTCCACTGTCCAATCTAGTTGCTCCATAAGTGCGAGAGGCCAGTTGTTGGTGTCCATGTCTTCGAGGTGCATGTAGGTGTGATCCTCTTTCTCTGGTAGATTAGCATCATACAAGCTAGGCGATAAGACGTCTTGATTGAGGAGGGAATCGTTAAGGTATGAGTTTGATGTCATCTTGGAGGAAGTGAGAGTAGGCTCGAAATATTTGAGAGGAAAATTTGGTTATGTCGCAAACCTATGCATGTTAAGAACATGGACGATGGATGAACTTATATATCGTGAAGCAGCGACGCACCAGGCTGTGTTGCACTTCGATGCACACGCCCCTCCGGCTGAGGGGCGCTTCGCCACGTGGCCCTCATTGCGTCCTGATCTTGCAACCATCTCACCATCTGGTAGCCTTGCGAGGTTCCACAGGGCTCGAGGAGCATGAAATCAATCGCGATCAACACGTTTATCGCAACTGTCACGTTTCATGCGCTACACACGTAAGTCGTAGGCTTTGACAACGATAGGTTGTGATCATGCAGGAGCGGGCGCATCTTGCGCGTGGTGTGGGCGTTCCCAGGCTGACTGGTGTGGAAGAAACACACCTGGGTAGCGATGGTGGAAAACTGGGGCTAGCGGGACGAAAGTTATCCGTTCCGCTCATGGCCAACCCAGGCAGTCTTACACGCTCTTCAACACACTGCCAGATCTCGCCAAAATCCATCGGAAAATCGTACTCATCTTCGACAACGGATGTAGACGAAAGGTTGAGTTGTCTAGCTGGCCCCGAGCCCTTCCCCTCAGCCATCGCTCATCCACCACGTGTCACCCGAGCTACACCGAGATCTTGGAAATATAACAGAACTCGATATATCGTCTTATTGAGAACGCTCAGTATCAACATGTCTACCTGTTCATACATCAAATCTTGGTTATTTGTATGACCACACGAATCTACTGTTCCCTTCGATGGCGGTGTACGAGCAACCAATCAACCATTCTCGCGGCTGGCCAGTTCGCTGTGCCGCTACAGACAGGACGATCCTACGTTTGCAAATTCAATCAATCTCGACATCGTCCACCTTTATGACTCCACTGGCTGTATCTGACGAGGAAGGTTTGCTCCGAAGATCCAGTTCGACGACGAATCATCACATTGCCGTACCTGCATGAGATGAAGGATAGACTTCACTAATACCCATCGAACACACCCTTCTCCAACATCCACGGCTCATTCGTTACGTTGGAACGATGGATTCGAGCTAAGCATGTTTTCTTTATTCCGTTGTGTTGGAGTCGGTGGAGAGGCGCGGGAAACACCAAGGGCGGCCCTTCACCTACCCCTATAGGCAAGTCGGTCAGCCGTGCAATCCGTAAACTTTCACCTACAAGTTATCTTCTATCAAGGCACTATAAAACCAGAGCCTAATAGTATGGATTCAATGACTGCGCTTGTACTCACCCGAGCCACCTCTCAACATGCTAAGCAAAGTGCAATTGGCGGCGAGTGTCCTAATGGGCTGCTTCGCTACTGCATTACCTTCTTCAAACTCACCCAATGGAGCTCTCGAAATTTTCGAGTCCTCATTGAGTGACCTCGCAGAAGTCTACTACCCAGGTTCGGAAGAATTCGCTAATGCTACTATACGATGGGGCGCCGGGCAAACTCCGCATTACGACATGATCGTCAAGGTTGCAACAGAGGAAGATGTGCAAGTGGCTGTGCGTAAATGCATACTCCGATCAACTTGTAGTTTAGCTAACCAGAGGATAGATCCTATACGCCAATGCGAACGACAAGCCATTCCATGCCATTTCGGGCGCTCATGCGACGACGACATACCTCAACAACATTACCAATGCTGTTGGTATTTATCTACGGGGTATGAACGACATCGTTATCGCCGATGATGGAGACACTGCGCTCATTCAGGGTGGTATCCTTAATGGCGATGTCACTGACTTTCTCTGGGCCCATGACAAGCAAACGATGACAACGGCCTGCGCTTGCGTTGGTTACATCTCTCCTATCCTCGGTGGTGGTCACGGCTGGAACCAAGGACGTTACGGCCTGGCATCTGATCAGCTCATATCCGCGCGCATGGTTCTCGCCAATGGTACCGCTATCACTGTCAACGAGAACAATCCGGATCTGTTTTGGGCGATACGTGGTGCTGGTCATAATTTCGGCGTCGTGACTGAGGCTGAGATCAAGATCTATGACAAAAAGCCAGATGTGGACCAGTGGGCAGTCAGCGGGTACTTCTATACACACGACAAGATGGAGGATGTTGTATCAGTCGCGAACAGCTGGATGGTGATGGCCAACAGGTCAGTGAGCCTAGAACACTACGTTGTGTTCTCTTTCGATCCCGAAGTGGATCCGGTAAACGTAAGTCTACATCCATTGCTATACTCATACACCACAATTAACGTCACTAGCCCATTGTCATCATCTGGGTCATTTACCAAGGCGCCAGCACCGTTCCAACACAATACACCGACCCTCTCGTCGCACTCTCGCCCATTTCTACCGACTCCGGCGTGACCGACCTCGCCGGTGTGAGCAAGTACACAGGCGCCGACCGCAACGGCCCATCGTGCACCAAAGGCTTCACTCGCTCTCTAGTCCCCGTATCAGCAGACACGTACGACAATCCTTCTCTCCGTAAAGTTCTCGACATTATGGCAACCTTCCCCCCAGAGTTCCGCAGCTCAGCCGTCCTACTTGAAAGCTACTCTACCAATCGCGTTGGCGAGATACCTAGTGATAGCACAGCATACCCGGACCGAGACGGCCAGCTGCTGTTCTCGCCGTTCATGACGTATCAGAAGGATGCTAGTCTGGATGCAGCAGCGTGGGGTTTTGCGGGCGACATACGCGATACTTTGATTGAAGGGACAAACAAGACCTACGAGGCTTACATCAATTACGCGAGGGGAGATGAGACGACTGAGGAGCTCTACGGGTATGAAGCCTGGAGACTGGAGAAGTTGAGAAGGCTGAAAAAGGAGTATGACCCTTTTGGCAAGTTCAACTTCTTTGCCCCGATTCTGTGAGCGGTCTCGTTTGAGGACGAAAGGAAGAGTGCTTTGGCGGAGGCAGGTGGTACAGTCACCAGATTCAACCGCCGGTGCCTGAGTTGGTCACAAACGTAGTATAGTCTGCACCCAACAAGATGTAACACGTAGACAGTAAATTGCGCGTACCCAACCCGTAGTTCACGCTTATTCAGGCGCTTACTGATAGCTCGTTCCGCCACATCCGCAAACTACAGCCTATCTAGTCACATCGCTTCCATGCTTCCGTATGACTCCGCACCCATCTAGTGCTCAACTATCGGTTCGTGCTGCACTTGAGAATCGATAGTGGCTGAATCAAATGGCTCGTGGTGGCTGATGCATCCGCAACGCGGGACGCGTACATACGTTGCGAGTAGATATAGAGAGGCAGGCAACGGTATGCCGCGATAGCATGCCATCCTTTTGAATTAACTTGTGCAATTGCAAAGATGTTCAGACAGTCGCTTGAATCTACACTATTGGGCGAAGACGACCGGATTCAACTTGTGGACCCTTCGTTCACTCTCAAGGCATTTGCAGATGAACAGAACCCGTTCGACGCAATGACCGGAGCAATCACAAATAGTGAAGAGGCATTTTCGGACGGAGCTACATCTCCCTCTAGCACATGGTCGGAATTGAGTCGTCCAAGCAGCAGCCCATCCTCGACATCAAGGACGCAGCTGCCGAACACCAACACACTGGCTCGTCGCCCACTGGTATCTTCGCACACATTCCCGAAATATAGACGTGAACAGAGTTCGGTAGGCCAAGAGCCGCAGGAAGCGAAGGAAGCAATACTTCAGCTTTCGCCGATAGAAAATCCAACGAAGGCGTTCAGACTGAAGGCGCCTTTGATATACGCCACCAAGACGCGCAATATTCCACGATACCAATTGCAGCGACAGTTCGATCGTAACGATTCTGTGCCCAAGTTGCACGTTCGCGCAGTTCCTCTACACGAGACTCGATCCCTTTCAGTACCAGCTACTCAAGTACTACAAGATCGGCAAATCCCTTATAACGGAGAAGAAACGCTTTACAGCATGGATCTATTTGAGATGCGCGGTCGAAAAGCCGGAACGCTCCCTGGTAGTGTCCAGATGACTTCTGGGAAGTCTCTATGGGGCGGCGAGTGGACGCGCTTCTGGCATGTTACAAAATGTAAGGCTAAACACCATGTTTGTGATTACAGAGGGGTGTGCGAGCCAGAAAAACATGTTCTTTATTGTGTTAAGAAAGGTGTGTGGGAGGATGCTGAGGGTGTAGTCGTTGCGCATGAAGAGACGGAGGGGCTGGGAGCATGGTGTGCCAATGGACTGCTTGTGGAAACAAGACGTCTATCAAATGAAGCAGGACATGTTTTGGAGATGACGGAGGAAACTGAGAGAGATGGAAAGAAACGCGATTTAGTGATGGCGTGCTGGGTAATGAAGCTGTGGATAGCGGAAGAAGTCCGGTGGGAGGGAAATTGAGAGCTGTAGTGAGGCGCCAAAAATAACGCAAGATGTGTGGGTTCGGACGAAACAACCATTGTTAATCTCTGTAGACTATCTCTGCTGTTCGGCACGACCTCGTAATCGCATCATAAGCGTGGAGTGTTGCCGATGAAGATGGAGCGAACAACTGCACTGTGCGGTACCTACCTAGGTAGGCATGGAATGCTGCGTGGACCCTGGCCACGTGTTTGAGCCTGTCGATGCCCTGCGTGTCGCGATTCTTGCAAGGTGAAATCTCTTCGTCTTGTTTCTTCCAAAAGCAATCACCTGCGACAGCAACCAAGATGGAAAATGGAGTTGCGCAGATCAAGCGTGCAGATAGCGTCTACTTCGGCGCGCCTGCTAGACCGAGCGCCACAGGCCAAGGGGCGAAGAGCCACCGCCTCAGTCCGCCCATGATTCCTGGGATCATCGCTCAGAGGGGCATTTGCGACTTGGGCAATTCTGAGCACCATGACCCGATTATTCTTGTCTTGATACCATAGTCTATTTCAATATTCTGAGCCACCCTCCATCATCTTCCCAGTTGTACCTTGGGCGTTGGAAGCCCTATCGCCGCCATGCCGCTCATCACTCCCTCCCGCCTCGCCATCATCATCGTCTCCTTTTCGCTCATAACTTTCTTCTGGACTTTCGGCCTACCGCACCAAACCCCCCAACCTTCGATACCTGCCATCGACCATTATGACCACAAGAATGTGCATACCGACCCGATAATACCGCCCCCCGTCATCGAGACACCGCTCGCGACAACACCAAGCCCGGTAGCACATGAAGACCGACCTACTGAAACAGACGATCACAGATGGGATGACAAGGGAGCGCAAGGTGGACAGGCACAAGCGAAACCAACTGCGCCTACCAAGACGGGCGTTGTAGATTACGAGAAAGATGGCGGACGATGGGAAGACAGCGCAATCACGGTCCCTACAACACTAGCCACCGAGGCCATACCGGCTTCTAAGAGTGCGGATGCAGCCAATGCGAGTGTTGCGCCTGCGAAGCCCGCCGAAGCAGTTCCTACACAAGTCGTCGACAAGTTCTGCAGCGATGCCGACGGAGCCAAAGACGTCATGGTCGTGCTCAAGACGTCCAAAGCTGAGATTGAAAAGCTCAGCGGCCATCTCAGCAACCTCCTGTCTTGCGTCCCTACATTCGCCATCTTCAGCGACCACGCCGGAGAGTTCCAAGGACACAAGGTATACGATGCGCTCGATAACATCAGCCACGACGTCAAGTTCAAGAACAATGAGTTCCAGGAATACCAGCTTATGCATGCTGATGCAGAGCACAAGCCGGACGCGAAGAAGACGGCAGACTTGGACAAGTGGAAGTTCTTGCCCATGGTCTACAAGGCATACCACATGAATCCCAACGCCAAGTTCTTCGTCTTCCTCGAAGCCGACACGAGCTTGAGCTGGACCAACATACTGCAGTGGTTTAACAGGCTGGACTACCGGATACCCTACTACAGCGGAGCTCCTTACTTCATTGCCGGCACACAAGTAGCCCAACGCGGAGCAGGCATCTTCTTGTCTCAGGGCGCTCTACGACGGTACTCCAAATCCTACGACGAAATTTACCAGACCAAATGGGAAAGGGACACAAGCACAGAATGCTGCGGCGACCTGATGCTAGCGAAGGCCCTTGGAGACGCACACGTCGAGTTCTATGCTTCTTGGCCTCTCCTCCAGAGCGAGCAGCCAAGTACACTGGACTACACCAGGAAGCACTGGTGTGCACCTGCAGTCTCGTGGCATCATATCGATGGTAATGACCTTACCAGGCAATGGGATATTGAGAAGAAATGGACCACCGCCAATGGCTGGAAGAAGCCATATCTGTACCGCGACGCTTACCACGACTCTGTCGAACCGCACATCGAAACGCAGAAAGTGGGCTGGGACAACTTGAGCCAGGACACGAAGATCGTTGCGCCAGAAGGACGGCAGAAACAGATGAAAGAGGATGCCGAGAAGAAGAAAAAGGAGGGCCAGGAGCACGATCTAGGAGAACCAGAGGACAAACCCAAGGAAGAAGCTAAACTTCAAGGAGAGGAGAAGAAAGAACCCAAACCTCAAGCAGAGGGGAAGAAAGAACCTGAGAAAATCAAGGTCGACAACACACCACCACCAGACTCCCGGATCTACCAAGAAGCCGGCCCCGGCTCGAAATCTAAACGCGAAGAGAAGAAGGGCGGCAAGAAGGGTGACAAGAAAGAAGATAAAGATAAAAAACCAGAACCGCCTAACTGGGATAAGCTCGCCGAGAAACACCCCGACGCGGCGGACAGCTCTGAGCGCTGCCAGAATGTCTGCCAGCAAGTTGAGGACTGTTTACAATGGCGGTACACGACCAAAGGAGATGGAGAGTGTCATCTCAGCAAGGTGGTTAGGTTGGGAGGAAAGGTTGGTGATGACCAGTGGTCGAGTGGGTGGTTGGTCGACAGGATCCAGGGGCTCACCAAGGAGTGGGCGTGTAAGGAGGTCAAGTGGAGGTTTTATCAGTGAGTAGGACTGAGTGTTGAGGTGATTAGATATGGGCAAAAGGATGGTGTTCTGGTGTTTGTATGTTCGTGTTGTGGCATCGAGAAGAAGGCTTTCTGTATAGTGCTAAGCTGACGAGGCTTCTATAAGTGGTGGAAATTGTTGTATATACCCTTTTTTATTGTAATATACATGTTGATGGTACAGGACATGTAATATTGATGTGCTGGCCCTGTTTCATCATACCTTCCTACACCATCCATCGTGCTCGTCGTCAGAGATGCGCTTGCAAATCAGTCGAGAAGAGGCATACGCGAGAAGTCGGTTCGGTTTTCTAGAACTACGGCTCTGGTCTCTCGCTACCATCTCACTCACGAGTAGGTCTTCTCTAAACAGTTGATCCACTGCGTGTCATTCTTAGTATACAAAAACTTCTTCTTCCGTCCTTTAACTAGAACGCGAGTCAAAGCACGTGTTTTCACTCTTGTCGAAAGACTCCTATCCATTCACAGTACTATTCACAATACCCACACTGCACTCAGGGTCTTGAATTATCTGAAAAGGTACAACTCACCCATTTTAATACCTCACTGTCTACTTATTCGAATTTACCTAGGTAGTCTGATCAGAACTGGCGGGAAAATGCCACTGGCTCGTCTCTTCAATCGATCGCTCAGGCGATGCTTCCAAGGACGACTTCCTCCTCCCGAAGGCCCAATACTCCTTGCGATGGCATGTTGCTTGGGGCAATTCAATTTGGATATCACCCGTGTAAAGAAGAAAATAGGCAAGGGCGAGGTTTTGTTGGACAGAGTATAGGTGGCCCGCTAGGCAGGTGTCCGCCTAGAGTCATATTTCCAAGCCTCAGCAAAATTGATACGGCGTTCAACCCATCATAACTTCGTAAGTGTGTTCATGGCGTATGTACACCAATCCATGCACCCCATTGTTGGCACCTTCCCACGCTTGACCTGGAATGGCAGGCGCAATACGCCTTCTTGGCTACTTTCCATTTGCCGGTGGCTTGTACGACAACAAGTCCTTCTATGTACGCCTCGCATTGCCTCCAACAACAGAAGAAGTTAGAAATCCATAGCTATCATCCACGTCCCCTCTGCATTCTGAACGCTCACCTCCCACAAATCATGGAGCCTGACGCTATCTCCCAACTCAAAGCACTACTAAGCGCAGCGCCAAATCTTCGCTCTCAACTCAGCAACGCCGAACGTCTCCAGCTCAGCGGATTAGCTGAAGCACTTAGAACCGAATTGGAGAGACCAGACGAAGCTGTATTCAGGGTGACTTTCAATGAGGTAGGTTGAACGCGTCGTGTCGCTCCTTCCAAGTTCGCGGAGCCCGAGTTCGCGGGGCTATACCATCCGTGACTCGTGACCAGCGCTAACAGTCGGGGTAACCAGCCTGGACATTATCTAGCTATTCGATTAGGCATACAATGGGGAATCTTTGAAGCACTGGGCTGCGATGGCGATGAGGGAAAGTCGAGCGTGCAGCTTGCGGAGGGTACGGGGGCGGATGTGCGGTTAGTTGGTAAGTAAGCCTGCATCGCGAACATGTTGGAAAGTTTTCCAATTTAGCCTCGTCATTATTTTGAGGTGATACTGATCGTAGTATTCCAGCTCGCTTCTTGCGCCACCTAGCAGCGAATGGCACAATCCGTGAAGTTGGTCTCGATACCTACACAAGCACTCGACTCTCAGCTTCTTTGAGGCAAAAGTCTTTCAAAGATGCTATACATTTCATGTAAGTCTTTGAACAGGTTCCTGATATTCAAAACCAGTATTGATAAGCCTCACTACTGATACCGCACCCGCAAAAGGTACGACGACTTCTACAACGTGGGCTGGAAAGTACCCTCCTTCCTTGACTCAATATCTCATCGCAATCCCGCCGATATCAACAACGGCCCCTTTCAACATGCACATGGTTTCTCTGATAAATCACTGTACACATACTTTGATGAAGACCCAGCGATGGGAGCGCGGTTCGGCGGTATGATCCAGATGTACAATGCTGGTAAACCGTTCTTCTGGGAGAACGATTATTATCCTTTCAATGAACGCTTGGTGACTGGAGGGCCTAAATCTGATAACGATGTGCTACTTGTAGACATCGGAGGAGGGGATGCCGGGGACTTGGGCCTGTTGCGGAAAGCACTGGGAAAAGAAGTAAAGGGTCGGCTTGTTCTGCAAGAGTTGAAACATATCGTCGATCGGACCGTGGAAGACGGATTTGAAGCGGAGGTAGGCGATTGGAACCAAGTTCAGCCGATTAAAGGTACACTACCAGAATTTTATCGTGCTGTTATCAATACTAAGACGCGACTTGTAGGAGCGAGAGCGTATATGCTCCAACACATCCTCCACGACTTTAGCAGCGACGATGCATGCCGTCGCATACTTCGCAACATCATTCCCGCTATGGAGCCCGGTTACTCCAAGCTCCTCATTAAAGACCTTCTTGTACCCGATCGAAATGCACCATGGGCATTCACGGCTTTGGACGTCAACGTTATGCAATCACTCTCTGGTCAAGAGCGGACTGAGTCACAATTTCGCGAGCTACTTGATTCTGTGGGACTGAAAATTGAGGGCATCTGGGGCCACAAAAATGCGCTGGATGTTGTCATCGAAGCCTGCCTGCCTTAGGAGAAGGGTCTTGCGCTGTTTTCAGGACTTCCCAGTCATGATGGAATGACTCCTCATTTGGTATAACATACTTCTCCCACCCCTCCTTCGTATCTGCCTCCTTCCACGTTTCCATATCACCCACTACACCATTCCCATCTACCTTCCAAATACCTCCTTCGACCATGCCCAGCCAGTTCTCAAGTACACACGCTAGACTCTGCGATTGAAAATCTTCAAGAGACTGTCTCCCACGCGAGTACAATTGTGTGAAGCTGTCATTCCCATACTGTCTGCAATCCATAAATTTCTGCCCATCACTCATCTTCGCATACTCGTTCCCCCCAATAGCAAAAGGCAAAATGAATGAGATCTGGTCTTCTAGATTTTGGTGCTCGTATTCAGTAGGCAACAGATACAAGCCGGAAGGGTAGACTCTGACATTGCGATAGTCGTAAAAGTGCGGCCTCCGAGCATCAGAATTTCGCGGGCTCCAGGTTGGATCTTCGAAGAAGTTGATTTCAGATCGAAAGAGTAGGATGGGGGGTATTTCATCTTTGTCTTTAGACATGTGCGAGCGAAAAGGTTGGTCGGGAAAGTCTGATGAGGTGATGACGCGGAGACCTGGGGCTATTTTTTTTTTTTGAAACGCGGGCGGCGGGCGCGAAAGAGGAAGTTGTACGCAAATCGTTGCGGTAGGCTTATAGTTTTGCGCACGTTGTTTTCGAGGAGGCCGTATATGGGCTGCGCGGTGATGCTTTCCATAGGCACGCGACTCTCTATCGCCTCAACGAGCTTGTCCCAGATCTCCAGGTTTCTTTTCATCATAACCTCGTTGTACGGAACGAATACCCAATTCGAGGGATCCCGGTTTTCTCCTAGTGCAGACCATTCTTCTCTGAGCTTGCCTCCTTTTTCTGGTGTTGCCTGAACACTTCCTTGGCGAATCTGGGAGAGCCAGAAGCTAAGGACGGTCTCTAGCGGATACCATCTCCGTTCATCCATACCGTCCATGTCATACAGTGTTAAAGCCAATATGCACAAAGTTGTTTTCTGGTCGTATCTAAATCTCGTAAGCTCGGCGTTCTGATATACTACCGACAGCATCAAGTTCACTTACATCAGTCCACAAGTATGTCCTGTCCCAAAGTGCCCCGCCTGGTACAAAACCAAACGCCTTCTTCTAATGTCCTTCTGCTTCTCACCTGTACGGGCTTCGTAGTCACATGGCCACAACAAGTCCTCGAATTCGAACATATAACCTGGTCCAGAGAGACTAGATACCCAGTGAAAGAATGATAGACACGTTTCACTCTCTTGTGCATACGGATCTTGGGCTTGCTCGAGGAATTGGATTAGCTCGGCGGAGAGATCAGACCGTGCGGCTTCGGCCTTTCCCCCATGTAACTGAAACCAGCTTTTGGATTGTGAGGTTAGTGTTTCTGGAGAGCGGCCTGAGCCGATCCAGCCATGCTGCACGATTTCGTTGTGAAGCTCGATGCAACGTTCGACGTTCATGGCTGATGAGTATTTACTGTCATAAAGAGCAAGAATAAGGTATCAAGGATGAATAGTACCGGATTTCTGGGTAAGCAAGAGACTGTGACTTGAGTTAAGTACGGCACTGCGCCGCAAGGCTACAGTGCATGGACGCAAACCTAGTCTAGAAGGGAACTAGTAGCCAAAGCGGTCAACTTGGAAGCAAGGCCCAGAGAAAAGAGCAATAATACAGAAAGACTCGAAGAAACGCACTGTGTACCACCAAACCAGTAAGTGGAAATGATACCCATGGTTCCTGGAATGTTCCAGTGCTCAAATAATTTGAGAAAGTATTTTTGCTTTCTGTCAATCTTGAGAAGAACATAGTTTGATAGTAAGACCAATCCAGGAGTTACCCATCTCCTTTACTCTCTAAACACCCATATCTGCAGACCCTTGCCTCGATTGGTTCATCAGGATCGGTTGCTCCGCGATCGTCGTCGTGTAGCTGATGTCCCTCGTGCTCTAGGGTAGTCCGCCGCAGAAATGATCTTTCGCTACCAAAACCTTTTCACGTCGTTGACCAAGCGACAGTAAAGATCCCTTGAAAAACATCTTCCGAAAATTGCCGCAGCTCGTAATCCTGGAGTCCCAGCCTTCCAGATCTTCTTGATCGACGGTAGACGCGTCTACCCAGTTCCAAATGACCAAGTGCTGTACTGCTATCTCGAGATGACTGTACTCATCTGATTGTGACGATCGTGAGGCACAATCATACAAGGTTGGCGTAAGCTGGGGCTTCTCAGACGAGCGAGCGAGAGCGGCGAAGAGGCGCGTCATAGCATGGTTCTGGAACGCTGCCACTTGCAGCTCGTCTCCTAGAAACCAAGCCAGTATTGCAGCCTTGACTGCACAGTCCATAGTCTTGAGTTTTTGGCGATTAATATCCATCTTCAGATCCGGGACATCGTTGGCGAGGCCTAGCGAGACAACCGAGCCAGATAGTTCGGTGTACTCTCCCGTGTAAACCCACTGTACGAACAAGTCAAGCGCATTAATAGAGCGCATCTTAGAAAGCCAGATCTCTGGTACAGGTTTGCCTTCGCCTGGGCATGTCGGCAAATTCCGATTGGAGATTGATCGCAGTAAATCCTAGGGTATATAGCGAAAACCGGGACTGCTGTCTCGAGGAGCCAGACGCACCTTAATCGCTCAAAGATCGCCAGCGCTGTGATAAGTGGTCAGTAAGTGCTTGGAGAGGATGAACGGCGCCACTCACAAAGCAACCAGATGCTCTCTCTGTGGGCAAAGACTAAGCGCAGGCGATTCATCTGCTGGAGTCGACATGTCACGGTGAGTTCTCTTGCGTTTCCAGCGCATATTCGACTCGGAACTTATATAGCGGGTAGATTTGGAGAGCGATAATATGTAAGAAGCGAATCAAGGATGGGAGGCTTTTGAATATTGGAGCACGCGGAGTCTTCTCACTCACTCGTTGGCCAAGATGTGCTTTGGCTCACCTTGCGAGCGCGGCAAGTTCACCTCTCACCTCCTACCTTCACCTGCATGAACGCCGAAGAGCGTCTGCTGAGGTCTTAACCTGCAAGCAAAATTCGCATTCTACATTCGGCACACTTGTCGTCATTGCAACTAGCGGTCGACGCCTGGCAGCTAAAGCGCACTTGATATGCGAGGGAGCCTTTTTTCGAGCGTTCAAAGTCAGTTGGAGGTAGGATTAGATACCCGATGTAATCTCTTCTAAGAGAAGATTCGAGATATTGCGCGACATTTACGCCATCGTGATAGTGGCTCTTGGTTTGCGCATATGCAAAAAGGCGACAGAGAAGCTACTCATGAATGCGCGCTGGTCACGTTGTAGAGGCGTCGCGAGGCAGAACGGTCAGGACACGCATGCGCCCCAAAACGCGCCAAGACCCCAGCACATGACCGCGCGCACCCTCTTACCCCATCCAAACTCACACGAATACAAACCTCATTTCCTCGTCCCGAAATGAAATCTTACAAAAACAAGCTTCTCTCAACAGTCGCATCACCGTCGTAATCAATCAATCCAGCTATCGTTTCAAGTCCAGCCTCACCGCCGAAAGAGTCGGTATCCCAGCCACGCCAGCCTGTCCAGCCCCTCCCACCATGGACGCGACCCAACCACCTTGCTGGCGCACGCACCCCGCCACGTCTGTACAAAAGTTGCTGCATGCCACTTGCAGTAGACCCTACTACTTGGCCTGCAGATTTCTTCGCTGATATTATTAAATCAATTATCCCTCAACTCACTCGTCAAACTCAACACTTTACCATACGATTCTTCGTTGTTCTCGTTGTTGTTGTTCCAGTTTACCACCACCATCCTTGACATTGGCTTGCTTCCGGGATATCACTTACGACACCACTACTGAAGGGTTGCTTGGACGATAGCTAAGCTTGGACCGACCGACACCACTGCGTTATACAACATTCACCTGTTTGCGCTGGAGATACAGTGCGCATACAATTGCTCATCGTCAACCTTGACATTTGACTGACTTTTGAAACAGAAACATCTTGAGCACTATCGCATCGCATCACACCGCCGCAACTACTCTTCACCAATCACTACTCCGACTACCATCATCTACGAGATCCCCTCGTAGTCACCACAACAAACCGCAATCATGCAGCGCAACATTGTCATCTTCCTCATCATCCTTATCCTTTTCATCCTCATCGCTGCTATCGCCTACCTGATCTACTACCTGCAAACTCGCATGGCCGTCGGCGGAACCGCATCGTCTGTCTCTGACATGACAGAGAACGCGTAGACAACGCCACTACAACAAAACACCATGATACAGCAGGACGGATAAGAAAAGAGACATTTAACGACGATACGAAGAGAGTATAACATATGGGACGATCTCAGATTTGGAGATTGAACACTGCATGGCATTGGCGTTCTTGGAACTGCATGGATATGCAACCTACAACAGGAGTTTGGAATTGATTGGGCAAGAAAAGTGATAAAACACTTGAGAAGTTGAAACGAGGATAATGCGATTGAAGCAGCCATGTTGGTTGGGACTGGGCTTTTGGATACCCGCAACGTTATTACGTTACTTGTATATGTATATATGTTCGCGCATGCATGGAATTGAACGACATAACTATTGAACACACTTTCAACCATGTTCCGCAATATAACTTTGATTATAGGCCTGTTGTTTAGTCTGGACCTGGGAACACAATCGTATTTCGTCTTAGCTAAGGAGAAGTATACCCGAATGTCCTGTATTATCTTAGAAGTGTTGTTAACATTCTAATCTCACTGGGAGATAAGCATATCAGGTATGCACAAATGGCACGATGCGCCCGCAACAATATTCTCACGAAGAGGGATATATCATCTGTCACACACTAAGTGGTCACACTTAGTGTCTCGAATATGTACAGTTTTGTGACCTCTGATGATAGTGGATAGAAAGCAGAAAGTTCGAATCGCTTCAAAGAACCATTGAAACTCCTTGTTGCCCTTTCCAAAAGAATTCTGAACCTAATCAAAGAAGTCCCTTATAGTACAGTTGACGCCTATACACCATACCCGCTTGAATGGAATCAAAGTCTTTGTAAGAGACTCTAGACGCACCGGTGAAACTTCGTGGGGCGGAGGTGTAACGGACAAAGACGAGAGTCCTACGCTTGTGGTATCAACGGAGACGCGGTGGGCAATTTGAGCCATGTCGGTTTTATGATGGGTGAGTCTTCAGGTAATTGAAGATGAGAAATGCTCCGGGGGCGTCAACGGAGACACCGTGGGTGATTTAAAACACAGTGGAGACAGCGAGACGGGAGGCGTTACTGGAGAGAATAGTCGTAGCGGGAGCATGTTCTCGATTGACATGGCGGGCGCGAAGTCCGTTCGAACTTTGCTGGTAAGCACCATTTTTGATGGCGAATTCGGTTGCGTATACTATTCGACTTGAAGCGAATTAGTGGCCTGTCATTTCGGTGTCGTTATTGTCATCACCATTTTCGCATTTCAGAGGCTGGTCGCTGGTTTCGGCAAAGACTAGGTGGCTCTCATAATATACCAGCATCTGCAACGCATTAATAGCAGTACAATTTCGATAGTCATGGCAACGCACCTTTTGCGGACACTTTTGGTAGACGTGTCGGAGAGGATGTTGTGTCTTTTGATTATTGTTCCACACGAGGTATGCGAACTTTTCGAGTTCGCCTGTCTTGGGGTTCTTCGTCTGCTCCACTGTGTCGACTTCGTGGACGTCGTGTTCCCACGAGCCTGGTGGTGGACTCCATTGTGCCACTTTCTTCTCCTCCTTGTCTGCCTTTGCGCGCTTGGTGCTAGACGCAAGAGTCTCCGACTCTGATTTCCTTCCCGCAAGCGACGGTCGGCCCTTGCGCTTTTGGCCCTTGGGCTCTGGACGGCCTCCGATACTCTTGAAGTACTCGTTCAGTACGTCAATGGCTCCCTCCATGTTTTCCTCTGACTCCCATGTCCGGTCTTTGGGGTCGTCGTAGCCTTCCCATTTGACGTCGAATTGGAGAACGCCCTACCACTGTCAGTGTTTGCGTGTGGTGAGGTAGGTGTTTGTACACACTCTTTGGAATCTGTGGTTGAAGATGGCTTCAACGACGTATCTGGCGCATTGTCAATGCGAGGTGATCCCTGGGTATATGACTATGCGCATACTCGTCTTCTCCCACCTCACTGTCAACCTCCTCATCTTCTATAGAATCGACTTGTACTGGTTGTCTTCCTTTTCCCTTTGCGGTCGCTTGCGCGGGGACTTCTTCGCTGTCCGAGGACTCGTGATCGCTGAGAGCAGCTATGCAAGTTAGCTACCGTATGCTAAGTACATTACGCGTAGGGTGAAAGCGCGAGAAGGCGGGCGCGACTCACGAGGCATCTTGAATCGCGGTCGCTAATGATGGCGCACAGAGATGTGGGATAGGCTGAGCTTTTTAGAGGGTGAGGCGATTCGGACAAGCGCAATTGTTTGTGCGCGATACGTGACCAGTGATTGTGGTGGCAGCTTGGGGCAGCAAGCGTCAGGGCAATTCGCAGGGTTGGAGCTGGCGACGGAAGGCGCGTTCGCGACTCGCGGCCGTGCACAGGAATGCCAAGCCCCTCTGGGGAAATTTCGAGACTGACATGGCAGCTGTTTGGATATACCCCACCACCCCTCACTACTAAACATACCCGGGATTTCCTCCTAGTGTGTATCTGTAGTTTGAAGAGTCTCCGGAATCTTGCATTTGCTTCTTCAGCGGGCATTTCTCCAACCATGGCGATGCGTACGTTATACAGGCTGCAACAGCTTCATTATCTCCGTACCTTCACAAAGATGAAGAGAATGCTAACTTGATAAATTGTAGAGGTCGACCTTTCCAACGGTATGCTTCCGAATCTACTACGAAATTGTTACGAATCATCCACGAATAACGACTGACAACTCGGCATGTAGCGCAGGTGATGAAGGATGAAGCGGGCAGGCCGTTTATCATTGTCAGAGAGTATGTGGGCTGCTGGGAATAGGCTTTCAGATTCCATCCGAGAAATCAGCAGCTAATTCTGGGACAGTCAAGGCAAGAAGTCGAGGCAACACGGCAACGATGCGGTCAAGTCCCACATTCTGGCGGCCAAGACGGTCGCGAACCTTGTCAAGAGCTCTCTGGTATGCAGAATTGTTGGACTCGAGAAAGTTAGAGCACTGGTTTACAACATCTAGGGACCGCGAGGACTGGACAAGATCTTGATTTCGCCCGATGGAGATATTACGGTCACAAACGACGGCGCTACCATTCTATCCCAGATGGAAATTTCCAACCACGTCGCGAAGCTGTTAGTCGAACTATCCAAATCACAAGATGACGAGATTGGCGACGGAACCACCGGTGTCGTAGTCTTGGCGGGCGCACTCCTCGAACAGGCAGCGGACCTCATCGACAAGGGTATCCACCCTATCAGGATAGCAGACGGTTACGACCAGGCTTGCGAGGTTGCTGTGGCCAAGCTGGACGAGGTCAGCGACGAGATCAACTTCTCCAAGGAGAACACGGAAGAGCTGTTCAGGGTTGCAAAGACAAGTTTGGGCAGCAAGATCGTCTCCAAGGCGCACGACCAGTTTGCCAACATCGCCGTAGATGCTGTGCTTTCAGTCGCAGATCTGGAGCGGAAAGATGTCGATTTCGAACTCATCAAGGTTGATGGCAAGGTCGGTGGATCGCTCGAGGACACATTACTTGTCAAGGGTGTCATAATAGACAAGGACTTTTCGCATCCGCAGATGCCGTCAGAGGTCAAGGACGCCAAACTCGCCATCCTCACATGCGCATTCGAGCCACCGAAGCCCAAGACCAAGCACAAGTTGGACATTACCACCGTGGAGGAGTTCAAGAAGCTACAAAACTACGAGTCAAACAAGTTCACTGAGATGATTGAGCAGATCAAGGAGACTGGCGCCAATGTGGTAATATGCCAATGGGGTTTTGACGACGAGGCCAACCACCTTCTTCTCACAAACAAGCTGCCCGCTGTACGGTGGGTAGGAGGCCCAGAGATTGAGCTGATCGCCATTGCGACCAACGGACGCATCGTACCGCGTTTCGAAGACCTCAGCGCGGAGAAGCTGGGAAGCGCAGGCATCGTTCGGGAACTGACGTTCGGAACTACACGAGACAAGATGCTGGTCATCGAGGAGTGTGCGAATACACGAGCTGTCACAGTCTTTGTTCGAGGCAGCAACAAGATGATCATCGACGAGGCCAAGCGATCGCTACACGATGCCCTCTGTGTCGTCCGAAGCTTGGTGAGAGACAACCGTATCGTATACGGCGGAGGTGCAGCGGAAGTAGCTTGCTCGCTCGCAGTCGAAGATGCGGCAGTCAAGGTAAGCACTATCGAATGCGAATGCGGGACGGCGACTTACATTTTACAGAGCCCCGGTATTGAGCAATACGCGATGCGCGCCTTTGCTGATGCCCTTGACGCAGTGCCCATGGCCCTGGCTGAGAACTCCGGTCTCAGCCCCATCGAAACCCTCGCTAACATCAAGTCCCGACAAGCCAAGGAGAAGAACTTCAGGTTGGGCGTCGACTGCATGCAGACGGGAAGTAACGGTAAGTGCCCTTCTCGTTTGTTGTTATCTAGCAATATTCCCCACGTCTCTTTGTATTATTCCCATGTGCCTCACCGCTATCAAGCATAGCTGCATTACGGACTCTTCCCGGGAGACCCGAGACCCGTGTTGCATACAACTTGCCGCATCCAACGCCCCCGTGGGGTGGGGTGTGTCCCCCCACGCGCCGCTACTTGCTGCGCTGGCACGAACGCAACTACAAGTGGAGATGAGCAGGAGTCATCTGAGACCTTCCCTATGCTGTCACTGTTATGCACAACGTCATGGGCCACATTGGTGGCTGGACTATCGAAGATCGTGCTAACGTGGCGTTATTCGCAGACATGAAGGAACACTTTGTGATCGATCCTTTGATCTCAAAGAGGCAACAACTGTTGCTCGCTACACAGCTGTGCCGTATGGTACTTAAGGTAAGTACCGTAACTTTCCTCCCTTGTTTCGTAACATATGGTCGCTTGTTGCACCGCACGCTACTTGGTGTTACTCCCTTTCCCGCCATCCCTTCCGCATTTCCCTCCCGTTCGTGCTACCTCGCTTTGCTCGACTTCCTCCCTTGCATTCTTTCTCTGGATCGAAGGCACGGTCGAGGAAGCGGGGAGGCGAGACCAAAGAAACACAGGTCTTTGTGTGCGGGTTTGCATTGTTCGTTACACACCATCACTTTGTGTTACACCGATTATCTTGACCGCCGGTATTGCTTGCGAGTAAAACTAACAACGCCGCACAGATCAACAATGTAATCATCGCTGGAAACGACGACCAGGATTTCTAGACGCCACCACGCCGTACCCGTCATACTGATTGATATGTGCCTGAGCGATGGGCGCAAGTAGCAAACGAAGCGCAAGGGCATGTTGGATGGCAACGTAAAGAAATCATGTCTAGGGCGTTGATACCCATAGACTATTCAAAGTAAAATCAATACAAGCATCCTGATGCCATCATGTGCCTTGAATAGCATAGAGTCCTGTTGAGAACGTGTCACTGCAGCATAATAAAGCCATCACCACATCTTTGCAGCAGAATGGTCCTTCGCGACATGAAATGAATCCTCCGATCCTACAATCAGAAGGGGCTCCGCATGCAAATCACAAATCCTTCTTCCCACGATGCGAACGCATTCCACACGTATGCATTTGCATATCCGTTTGTCTGTTAAACATATCCTCCAATCGCCATCTAACCATGCGTCATTCAGTACTCGACGGAATTGCTCAAATCGGCGTCCACTCCTGCGCTCTTTTGTATCAGAATCCTGTCATTTGTCAACTCTGCGTTCAACTTCTATATTGCATGCCATAGTGTGGCCATTCACAACCTCAGCTAAATATTGAAGTTGATCTTGGACTCAGCGAGCAATAGGATGACGAATTGTAGGAGCTCATCCATGTTCGTCATGACCTAGCCTTCAGCTTATCCAGGACTTGAGAATCTTCTACTCCACAGCAACAACAATAATACAAATTGGTGAACCTTCCTCTGAGATCCAAGAACTTGTTTTTGTCGAACACATGAAATCTACGAACAGAAACGAGACGCCGGACACAGTGTGTTGACTTCCCCAACAACTGACAACGTTTTTCTTTTGCAGATACATCTAGACGCTGTCACGTTCATGCTTTATTAGACCGGATTACGCCAAGAACGGTAGTTGACTTCAACGACATTACCGCTAAACTCAAGGCAGGTTTTCCATTGAGGTTTTTGTATGTTTTGAACTTTCTCTTTACCTCAAAAAAAAACCAGTCATGTTGTCTCAAGAGCTTGGTTATGATTATGCTGCACTATCTCATCGCTCATGCTCGCTTCTAACCTTAGCGACCCGGTAAATCTCCTCAGTAGCGCAAACTCTCTTACAGTGAGGAGCAAGCGGTGGTTGTTTCTTGCGGTAACATCCGTCATGCATGTAGGAACACGAGAGAAGGGCTGAGCTAGCTGCTGCAGGGGGCGTTTACTAATAGGTTGTGTTGGTGTTGCTGAGACGGGCGATAGAAGGCTCGGGATGTGGAGAGAGATCTTGGCCTCAGCTGAAGGACGGGTGAGAGTGTTGTTGGCAATATTGGCGGGTAGGTAGTGGATGATACTGTGCCATGTTCTACTTCTGCGTAGGAAGAATGTAGATCCCGTGTCCATCACATGTTGTCTCGTCGTAGGTAGCGAAGCTAGCTTCACCACCCACCACTTATGCTCGAAGACCAGGTGATGTCTCAAGCACTTGAAACAAACCACAACTTCAAGCTTTTCTGTTTTCAGAACGATCGCTTCTCTCTTTCTCTGAAACCACGTCATTTTTCTTGATTCAGCCTATAACAAACCGCAACTATGCCTGTGCTTAGCTGCATGGAGAATATGCTGTACGTATATTTACGCGATCGCCCTGGGATTCAGGCACGCGCCCAAGTCCCATAAACACCCAGGATCTGGGTCTAATCTACCCCTACACGGAGGATCGAGGATCAATGTTGACGCAAAGCCGCGTACCGGAAGCGCGTGACAAGAATATCCCTGGACAAGGGGTATCGTATCGATATTGAAAACGCGCATGAACATAACAATAGCAACATAGGTGATATAGCTATGCGCACCAATTTCAAGGCAAACGTAACATACAAGGGCCGAATATGCGCAATCACAGCACAGAAACGAAGCAAGAATAATGGTGATAGTGTTCCACGTGAGAATATTTGGAAACGTGGCCACGGACAAATGGAGAATCAACTGTGGCAGGTGACAGATTCTACCTGACTGCGCCCGACATGTCAGCCTGT